GTTTCGCTTTTCGAGCTGGAGCTGCGGAATTGTATTTCGCAATTTTCGGGCTGGAGCTGCGGAAGTGTACTTCGCGTACTAGACTTGTACTACAAAGTTGCGAATTTCGAGCTGGAGCTGCGGAAGTGTACTTCGCGTACTAGACTTGTGCTAGAAAGTTGCGATTTTGGAGCCGGATCTGCCAAAGTTCGAAAACACTGTAAAACGATAAGGTCTCCCCCAAAAACGATAACGTTAAAAAAAGTAGTAAGGCCAAGTAAAGTGTTTCGTCCGCTCCTCATATATTTTCATAAAGCTGTTTCAAGTGTACATGTCCACATGTCACATTGTATGTGTATATATATATATATACACGTATGGACGCATACATATTTTGAATATGTAGATAAAAATAAAGTTTGAGCTCGGCCTAACTTGCACCATGCACAAGTCCAAGGGCCCGCGCGTGAGGTTCACTTCTTGTTTGCTGATTCTAGCGCCCGGAGTTTGGGCGCGGACCGAGTTGCGTGCTAGTGTGGACCTAGAGTTGGAATGTGGAACCTGCAAGCAACACCAAGCTTCAAACTGTTCAATCCACTGCAAATTCCCTTGGCCAGCATAAAGCATGGCAAACTAGGGTTTCCCCCCTGGGAATTCATAAGGCCAATTCAAGAGGCATGAGCCCAGAAGGTAGGTAAAGATTCCTAAAGACCTTGGATTTGAACCAGCAGCGCTTATCCCAACTCCCAAACGAATAAGAGACCTGTTGTCATTCACCTTGGCTTGTGGTTGGGGGAGTCAAAAGGAAATGCTAGAAAACGCAGAAGCTGTATCGAGTCCCGAATCAAGTCTGCTCAGCACAGGGCCATTTTTGCGGGGTTTTCTTTCGCCTTGCATCACTCCACTACAAGAAAACTGAAATTGCCTCAAAAGCTGATGTTTGAACCACGGCAGCAAGGAACCCTGTACTGTATGCTTGCGGCCGTACCATATTTGCCCTGTACGGATGAGGCTTGGTCAAAAACCACCGCAACGGAAGATCCCAGCCGCACAGGTCCAGATATCTGTTCAGATACCAAAAGTGCATAAGGCTTGGCTAGCACACACTTTGCTTACGGGATGACTAGTGGACCTGGAACAAGTCTGGCAGATATCCATGCCAGTGCAGCAAGACGCCAGTGCCAAGTATTATTAGTGGAAAACGTCCCCTATTGTTTTTCCACTAGCCTAGTTGTCGCCAGCGCTGCATTAAGCAAGCCCTCGCACCCATTAAGCGGTGCGGAAGACCCCGGGAAGGGGTGCAAGAAGACCGTGAAGGGGGAAGACGTGTAGTAAAAAGCTGACATATACCTTGGGGCTGTTCGAGGCCACCCCTTTTAGCCTATGTTCTATGAGTGCTCGTGTTTGTTTAAAAGTTTTGTGGCTTGCCACCTTGCATGCACTCGGTGTAACCATGTTCAAAAAACCAGAACGTCTTGGGCCCCGCCACTGGCCCGGCTCGCCGGCGAGCAGCCACGTTCCAAGTGAATCCGCCCATATCCAGCCTTTGACTCCACAGATGTGGCTCAGAAAGGTTGACTTGATCTTGGGTCCTTTGGGCAAGTGAGCCGCAAATTTGAGCCACAGGGCATGCCTGGTATGACTTGACGTTTAGTAGCGGACAATTCCAACAACACAGGGGTGCGGCGACAAACCCCACGTTCGATCAGACGGATGAGGAAGCGACCCAAGGGGAGCTGACTTGGCGAATTTCTGTCGCATAAGTTGTGCAACTTGGTACAGGTAATCTTCGCGAAAGTTGTCTTCTTCGCCTGCGTTTTTGTTGGCTCGGGCCGCATAGCTCACTGACAACCCTTGGTTAGAACGGCCATTCAGCTTGTGCCACGTGCCGCAAGAGAGCTTGCGATTAAGTTGCGATTGGGCTCCTAAAGATACATGCTGGTATACCTCTCAGTCCCCGGGACCTTCCACCAGACAAACCAGCTGGTCAATGATAAGCTGCTCGCCCGCGAGTGTGGTCTGCTGTTGCAGCGCGCTCTAAGTCTTTGCAAAGCGGCGCGCGCACGTTAATTTGGCCAACGTAGAAGATGTCCGACTTTCTTTTGGATCGCGCACACGCCCTCTAAATTTTTGCACTTTGTGGAACTGCTTCCTGCAGGCCAGACCTTGTTTTTTGCTTTCTTGGTAGCCCAGCGCAAATCACCCGAAGCACTTTGCAAGGCACAGGCTACTGGAAGGGAGAGGTGTTCTTGGACGAGGCTCCTCAGGGCGCGGGATTGACGCGCACGTTGCGCGCAAGTTCTCAGGATTGCCAAGGGTGCAATTGGATTTTTTCTTCTTGGGGTGATTTCGGCATCACGCTATCCGGAAATGTCAGTGTGATATTGTTGCTTGGTGGAATGGTTCTTCACTTGTACAAGGGGTGCAGAAGAAAACCCGGGATGCTTTGCAACCTAGTGACTCGTAAGAACCGAGCAAGGTGGCTTTGCGTTTCCCATCGCAAAGTTCTGTGGGGGCCGAAAAAAACCAAACCAAGAGGCCAGTTTCCACGTGACGCGCAAGGTCACATCCCAAAAAGGGGATCGCCCTTTGTTCATTTTGCAGAACTTTTCTTCGGGTCCAATTCTCGGGTTCGGTCCAAAAAGGTGGAAACGTATTTTCCTAAACCTTTTTTAATACCATTTTACCAACTTGTTTTGGTTTTAGAGCTTCATTCCTGCAGCGGTGTGGCTGAAGGGGCTCCAAGAGTTAGTTGCCCAGTTGCAACCCGCTAGGGATCGATCTCAGGCTGAATTGGCCGATCTCTTCAAGGGGTGGGAGAAGGGCCAGCGAACAACAAACACATCAACTCTTGTGAAGCACGCGGTTTGCCCCATGGCAACTTGCAAGATGTTGTTTGCTGACCCGTGTGCTTCCCTCGCGCACGTTGGCATTTTCAGAGTCAAGTTCGCATGGAATGTGAGTTACAAAGTTAGACAAGGAAGTAGCAAGTGACATGAAAAAATCCAGGGGGACGTGAGATGCGGCGCAACTCAGACGCAACGCAGGGGATGTTGCAGCCTGGAAGTGTCTGCCGCCGATTGTTTTCTCGCCAGAACCAAGAATTCTACAAGGCTCTTGGTGGTGGTGAGGCGGGGGTCGTCGGTCGTCAGGCGGCCGGTGCTGAAGTCTGAGGGGCGCGTTGACCGTCTCCGTCCCGCTCCCCGATTAGGTCCGGTTGGGTTTCCTTATGCCTTCCCAAGACCAAAGTGTTGCAAGTAAGTGTGGGCAATGGGACGCCCCAAAAGGGATCCCTGCGATTCTGGAATGCGGGTGCCAGTAACATCATTTGCCGAGCGTTGTTTTTTTTTTTTGTGGGGGTTGGTTTGCTATTTAGGGCTCAGGCACACGGAGTACCAGGAAGTACCAGGATGCGTCAGCTTGGCCTAATAGTCTTCGGAGCGTTGGTGGGAATTGTGGCGTGGGAGCATGCTCCAGCCGTTGAGCTGCTTGAAGCAAAGGGAGGAACGCTTTAAAACTTGCATTGGTTTCACTTTCGAATTGGAACAGTTGAATCCCCAGCCCCAGGCGCTATCCACAAAAAGAAAATGCTGCTGCGGGTTGCACTCAAGTGGAGGGGTCACCCCAAGCCAGGGACCCGTCGAAATTCATCCTTTCCGAGGAAACTACAAGGTAACCCTTTAGTTGGGTGAAAGTAAATCTCCCTCTCCCTCACCCGGGATTGCATCCAACACCTGTACCCGTTTTCGGTCTCGGAAGGCTTCGTTGTGAGGGACTCGAGGGACGCAGCCAAAGCGGCTCTGGCAGGTCTGGAAGCCGGTGGGCATTTTCGGTTTCCTCGCCATGTTGTGCAACCCGCCGGGGCGCCAAAACCGAACCAGCGAACTCATCGATGGGAGGTAAATCACGAGGTTCATGAGACTTCCCCGGAACTCGCTCCCCGTTGTCATTTTGTGCTTTTTTGGGGCCCCCTTTGTTTTCCACTAAGACAAAGTATTATTTTTTTGCCGGGGTCCTAATTTCAGCCAAGGATAGATGTGGGAATCTTATGATTGTGGCAGATTGTTTCGCAGAGCGACCCACAACCGCATCCTTTGGTTCGAGCGCGACGGAAGTGCCCGCAGATGTGTTTCGTTCAGCTAGCAACCTTGAGGCTGTTGCTTGCTGCATATGTCCGTTCCAATCAAGAAGTTCAACCTTGCCAAGGCCGCTCGTATCCAAATGCCGAGGGCGCAACGCGCATTGGGGTTAGGTGTCTCAAAATGAGCTCCTGACTGGTGCCTTGTCACCTGCAATCCAAAGGATGCCACCTTTCGTGTCCCGCGCAAGCACGTATGCGATTCTCTTGTGTAGGCAGGACAATCTTCATTTTGAAACAACGGAAGGCCAGGGTTTTGGCATGTGGAGAGGATATCCAACCAGCTTCTGGCCATCAGGGACTTCCTTACAGGATGGCCAGTCCAGAGACCTCAAGAAAGGCTCTTCATTCGGTGAGGGGCCCAGCATTCGCCGGTGGAAACTTGGTCTTTGGGTCATGGATCAAGGTGCTGACCCTTGTCTCCAAGTCATTTGCTTGCAAGCAAACTGTGTCTTGTGATTTCCTGGGTCTTGGGATTCTTGGGAACTTACAAAAGAGAATCCTCTTGTGATTTCCTGGGAACTTACAAAAGCGGATTCTTTCTATGGGTCGCCTTCTCCAGATGCGGTTTGCTGAGGCAAGGGCCTCGGAAGCCGGCTCCGAACTCCGGCTCCGAAATGTTCCAAGCTCCTGGCCCGAATGAAACCAAGGGGCCATAGCATTGCGAGGCTGCAGGTAAATCGGTGGGGCCTGTAAAGCCAAACCTTCACTGTTCTTGGCATGCTTTTAGGTTTTTTTTTAGTTTTTGGCTCTGTTCATTTTTGCTGGGGGTCTGCAAAAAACAGTCAGTTTTTAGCCAGCCCATACCAGAGATGGGTCCCAAGCACCAAGCCGTTCCGCCACTTGGGAAGCCGAGTCCGCCTGGCCCGCCTGGCCGATCCGCAGCAAATGGCTTGAGTCCGGCGGGGCGCTGGCGGCGCTTGCCTCAGGCAGCCATGGGCAACGCGTGTCCCCACAGGCAGACGACAGCGGTGACGCTGGGCGAGCGAAAAACGCGGGAGACGCGGATGGGTGTCCCCCTGGTTTTCAAGCGGATGGGCGTGGTTTGTTGTTTGAGGCCGGGTGCATTTGTTGTGGCTTGACCTCAACGAAACAAGAAGACACAGCCACATGATGAGTGTGCGTGTGTGCGCTTGTCATCTATACATTAGAGTTTGCAAGAGGACACCGAGGGCAGACGACAGGTTCTTGCCTTGGCAATCGGCAACGAAAATGAACACTTCGTCGTAGCTGACTGAGTCAAACACATAGGTTGTGCTCTATATGCAGAAGCCCCAGTACGTGCGATGTTTCCTTTACACCAAGCCACAACCCTAAATCAAGCATGCCCACTTTGCAACTCAAGTGGGTTTGCGAGTAGGTGCATGTGTGTGTGTGTGTCATTTGTGTCAGCTGGGCTTTCCGCCTGGTTGTCCTATGCCTTTTTTGGCCTTACCCATTGAACTTGTGTGAGCTAGCTGGCGACAGCCTGCCCGTGTCCAAAGGGCTTCTTCTCAGTCGGGTTCATTCTGGAGGCCTTATTTTTGCTTCCTTTGGCTCAGGCATGGACCCCCATGATCCACCCATATCCACCCACTTGTGCAGCAGACTCTTGTTCTCGTTTTTTTTTGGGGGCAGTTCCCGCCAAAATTGGTCAGCCCCCAGCAAAGCTTCCCTTTTCCACCCCGTGCTTTCAGTTTTTCTCCACGCAGCTGAGGACTGTTCCGCGTGTCAGCCCGCAGGAAGTGCAGGAGAACGGTTGGGTGGTGATTTATGGCAAGGTGTACAATGTGCATGAGCGCCTCGTCGTCAGACAAGTGGAGACTTCCACCAGTGCGACCCTTGGGTGTGCAAGCCAAAGGCTTATCCCAACTAGGTCCCCCAGTAGTGCGCTGTTTCCATTTTTTGGCGGAGGGTTCCCCTACTAAAATAGGCTACAGAACAAAGGGTGCCCTTATTCTAGCCTCTCTACTGGAGGACCTAGGTGTGCAAGCCCAAGGCTTATCCCAATACCTCACACCTCTCCTTGGCCGCTGTTCCGCTGAAGGTTTGGGAAGGGCAAAATCCACGTTTCCACTGCATTTAGGGTGCTCGTGAAGTTTTGAACGCGCCCCGTGTTTGCCATGCTTCAAGTAGCCATGCTCTCAATCATGTTTCTCTGATCATGTTCCTGTTTGACCATGGTTCGTGCTTGGCCTTGCTCCAAACGATTTTCCTTTGAATTTGCACCCTATTTTGGGCCTCTCTTCATGTGAGTTTCGTTCGGGGACCCAATTCGTTCCTGTTGGTGATGCCAGTGACACTTCCAAGGTACATGGCCAAACACCCTGGAGGGCGGGATCTCCTCTTAGGCGAGGGCGCGTCGGGACACGTGTCGTCCGGAGGGCGGGGGACAAATTAGCACCCCTTTCCTGCCGGCCAACGCAAAACCTCTCAGGTACCATATGCCACCAGAAAGTGTTGCAGCGATCTGCCGGGTTGCATGTGGTAAATTACTTGCATGATGTATGTACGCTATCCAAACTCGCCATGGCTGATCATTCTTGATCCAGTGTGCACTCTACATCCAAAGACCCTGTGGGATATGAGCTGCATGTTGAACGGGGCCTTTGGACATCGTTTAGGTCAAGGCAAGCGCTTAGAGGGGATTGTTCAGCACGTCCAAAGCACCAGTTGGGAGGTGCACATGAGAGGGGTTTGTTTCATGGGGGCAACTAGTAACCAATTGTTTTCCCCAATATGCTGCTCAACTACCGCATAGGTTTGCAGTCTAAGCGTCATATCTGATTGAGACATGGAAAGTACCCCCAGTGAAAGCATGGATTTTCCTGAATCTGGAAACTTCCCTCGCTTTAAATGGGGGATTGCCAGTCAATCTTCTCGTGGAAGACTTGTGATGCTTTTTTGAGCCGCGTGGAAGGCAAGAAGCTGCTCGTTTGGTTCCAAAGGCTCCGATTCAATATGGCATAGACAATGCCTGACTTGTCCAAATCCAATAGGCACTGTGGCAAAATCGACTGGACCCTTGTGCACAAATGTTTTGGAGCAAATCCTGTAGGCTCCGCACCCGTTTAGAAGAAACTCCAACTCTAGGCTGCGCCTCGGCTGTCTGTTGATTTAGTATATGTTATCTTATCTCTGTATATCAGTCTTGTTTTATTTATGTGTGCAATGCAACGTCCAATGTAATGTTGTTATTATTGTTGTTTGTATGAACTTTATGCTCTGGCATCAAATTCTTGGAGCAGTGACACCGTTCGTCATCCATTATTTTCGCAATTCTGCGGTCTAGCCCATGAAAACAGGATGGCCACCCCTTCGCCAACGTCACTCTCCATCGCTTGGTCACGACGTGAAGGCTGTTTGGCCAACAATATGTTCTGTTCTTCCTTCCTCATTCTTACAGGTAATTATTGATAGAACTAATTGATAGAGAAATAGAGTTATTGGCAGGATTTAGAAGTTACTTGGTGAGCGAAGCACCTTTCCATCATCTACTTCTGTATCCCTGTATCTCCGCCTACATGCAGATAATATGATATTAATACAACCAAAAACGGAAAGCGCCGCAACAAAAAAGCATAGTTCCACTATTGCCCATTCCAGGTACAGATTGCCAATGTGAAGGTTACACTCAGGATTCCCGAGCCAAGCGGTCGTCTCCATTGACATGCTGGGCCTGGTACTAATAAGTTCATCACCTTCTCCCAAGGTTCCGCAGTAAAAGGCAAAGCAGCATTTGAGACTTGGAGCAACTTTGCGCACATACGCATATCAAAGTAACACCGCCGTTCAACAAAAGTTAGCTTTGCGCCCTTGAAGAAGTCCTTACATTCCCTTGAGCCTGGGGGTGACAAGCTCCCTATGGGGAAATAATTAAGGGGCATAGGGTGCATAGTTGGGTACTTCACGTGCATATGTCCTTTGATCCAGGCTCGGGTAGAAGTGACATCATGTATGGAGGGGGGGAGGTTCCTGGCTTGACACCTCTGCTTTTCTGGTTTCGAATGGTTTCTATTCCGAGTGACCACAGCGCCTGAAGCAAAGGCTTGGCCCCAGTTTCCTCAAACATGTTGCCGCATATTGGTGGTGCATCGGGGCCTTATTGCTTTAGGATCCGGCATGAACCACTCAGCCAACATGTTGTTCATCATGTTGCTAGACCCATGTTTTTCATCCCCGATTTAGGAACAGTTGCCATAGCAGCTTCTCAGCAGCTGCTTCTTTTTCCGAGATGCACAACTTGGGAATTTCCGTCTTCTGCCCAAAATAAGCTCCAAAATCCATGGCTGGGATTGGTTTGGAGGTGCTGGCTTTCCAGTTTTACACACAACATAGCTCATTGGTTCCCAGCCATCCCCTAAGGTTTTAGCTTTTTAGTTTTTTTTGGGGGGGGATTAGACTTTTCGCGGGGGGTCCGTGCCTTCGGCTCTCCGCGCAAGGCGTCGGGGGCCGGGACGCCACGGTGGAGTTCGAGACCATGCGCCACTCGGACTTCGCCTTCGCGCAGCTGGAGAAGCTCTTCGTGGGGAACTACGACGCGCCGCCCGGAAACAAACGCTCTCCGTGGGCGGAGGGGATTTTTCTTTTTTGGCCCCGACTTCTGGGTGAGGCCATGGAGGAAGCCATGGCCATGGGTGTCCTTTTTGGTTGCTTTGATGGAAAAATAGATGGGTTTCCCTGGTTTACTAGGTGGGTTAATCATCTACCAGGGCCATCTATTTGCCCTAGAAGGACACCTGTGGCCATGGCATTTATAGACCACCATAAGGTTGACCCCATATGAATCAACCCCAGTTGATTCATAGGGGGCGTTCCCCTCCAAAAGTGATGATTTTGGATCTCGGTTTTTGGTTTTTCGATTTGAGTGAGCCCATTGAGGCCATACAGGCCTTTTGATATATACATTTCCATATTCCTGAATAAAGCCATCCAGTGGTTTGTTTTTCTCCGATTTTTGTGAGGCCATTGAGGCCATGGCCCTTATAGACTTTCATAGTGTTGACCCCGTATGAATCCACCCCAGTTGACTAGGGGACGGGGTGTTCCCCTCCAAAAGCGGTGATTCCCAACTAAACTTAGGGACACCCCCCCCTATTTTTAAGCTGGAGTTGATTAATATGGGGTCGGCATCACTCCCGAATTCCATCCCGCGCCCTATTTGGTAAGTTGGCCACTGCCATTACAGGTTCACCACGACAAGGGGCAGGACCACGATAGGCACAGCATGGAAAACGAATGGGTTCCTCTGGGAACAACTGGTGGTAAATCTAGTTTAAATGGTCCGCCCCCCCACCCCCAAGATGGCTTCATGCTTTTCTAGCAGAGCCACTGGCAAACTAGGTTCGCCCCTTTACGGGGTTGAGCAAAGCGAGCTCACACATGGCTCATGTGGGTTTCTTGGGGGGGGGGTGCTTATTTCCTGTTTGTGAGCTGGGGTCATTCGCGCAGATGCACGTGTTCGCTCCGTTTTGGTGAAACGTCCTTCATGGTAATAATTCGGGAGCTGGAATTGGGGATCTGCCTCAAGCAAACTGGGAGGATTGGCTGCTTGCCCTGCAACTCTTTGCAGACAACTTTATTGTTGGACTAGGCCCTCAGAATTGTCCATAGGTATCCTTGTTGGTCTGTGAGGTTGAACATAGTTTGGATAGAATTCATCGAACCTAGTATCAGGTCAAGTTTTCGGGTGTCATTTACCAGTTCGCTGTGATTTCCTATTTGTCCTGTTTGCAAAGAAGTGCCAGCCAGCAGTGCAGTTGTGCACTGCGAATCGACCGGCAGTGGCTGTTCGTTTTCCCTTGGCCTCAAACCGAGGTCGACTCACGCCAATGCGGCTTCCGAGTCCAGGGAGCACGGGATGCCGAAGAAGTCCCGCGGATTTGTCAGCTGCACCCCAAATATCTCGCCAGCAACCTTAAACGGGGGACCCTTCTAAGAACAAACATGCAACCGAAAAGGGATTCCCGGGAAGGGGATTTCCCTCTATCAGGGACTCATGTTCAGGTTCGGGTAACCTCCAAACAAGACACTCCCAAACTATTCAACTCCTAGGTCTCCCAGTAGTTTTCTTTTGCCAACTTTTTTGGGTTCCCCTACTAAAATTGACTACAGAAAACATGTACCCTTATTCTAACCTCTCCACTGGAGGACCTAGACTCTGTATATATATATATATGTATATCTATATATAGACATATAAATATGTGTATTTTAGTGGGGTCACTTGGTTACCAGCAAATTCGCGCTCCCGGCCGCAGGGGCGCACCCTGTTTTCTGGAGTGGTATGGAACACACGCTGTTTTCCCTTGTGCCGGTTTCCCGGGTAGTGGAAAGCATCTTTGGTACCGCCCATTTGCTCAGGTCACGCTTTTTTAATTTAGAATCAAGGCAACACGTTCAGAGAATTGGACACATTCGATTTGGAGTTCTCAGGACTTACTTTGAAGAGGGAGTGCTGCGAGATCGTATGTCTCATTTGGACTTCGATGCCAAAGAAACATCATCCCACTGGCCCAGATCAGGCTCCCAGACGGTTGAGCGTGCTGGACCCCAGCCTGGATGGAAAGCAAACACCACTGAATGCCTTTTCTATTTAAAAAATAGTGCGAACCTCAAGGGGGAAATTAGATGTGATTGGTAGGAGGGAGTTGTGCGAAATCGGTTTGGTCACTTCAAGGTTGGCACATGCACCCAAAGGGGCGACAAAGTCTAGAGTACGGTTGGGGAAATGGGTGTGTTTGTTTGTTGACCCGCTCCCTGAGTTTGGACTTTAAGCTTTTTGGGAAGACACGCTTCGTGGAGAACAAGAAGTTGGGACATGTTTGGCTAGTCCACTCAAGAAGCGAGTCATTGAAGGCATCCTGTTGAGGCTACCCGTTTTGCCCGGTTGTTTCAAGTAGAGGGCCCAAATGGGAAACCACCAACCATGTTGCAGGCTTGTTCAATCAGGAGAGGCAATGTTCGAAACTTGTGTCAAAATGCGGCCCCAGATGTTGGGACCTTGATTCCCAGGTCAAGGCTGGCTGGAAAGCTAAACTGCTAGTGGGGAAGGCTGTACAAGAAAATCCTGCTTCACGCAGTAGTTGCAGTGGTTGGTGAATCCTATCCCGTCCCCCTTCCTCAAACATGAAGCCCCAGGCCTTTTTGGGCCACACACCACTTTCCAGCCATTTGGGTCTTTTCTTTTCTTTTCGAGGGTGCCCCTGTGTCTTTTCTTGTTTTTGGAAAATGGAAACCCAACCAGCAAAACCCAAATAGCGCCATTTTTGAGATAACATCCCCCTAAGACGGCTTTCCCGCTCGCTTTCTCCATTTCAAAAACCCAACCCGCAAAACCCCGGCGCCATTTTTTGGAATAACATATTCCCCCAAAAACACAAAAAAGAAAAAGAGACGGCTTTCCCGCTCGCTTTCTCCAATTCAAAAAACCCAACCCGCAAAAACCCCGGCGCCATTTTTTGGGACAAAATCCCCACCCCCCCCCCCCCAAAAAAAAAAAAACAGGAACGAAGAAGAGACGGCTCGCTTTCCCCATTTCAATCAACCCAACCCGCAAAAAAGACCCGGCGCCATTTTTTGGGATACAAATCCCCACCCCCAAAGAAAAAGAACGAAAAAGAGACGGCTTTCCCGCTCGCTTTATCCATTTCAAAAAACCCAACCCGCAAAAAAACCCGGCGCCATTTTTTTGCCCCCCCCCCCCAAAAAAAACAACAACTCCGGCGATATCCCCAACAGCACCACTCCCAGAATCCTCGCGGAACGCCCTCACCGCCGGTGTTGCTGAGGATGCCGCCTTGTAACTATATAATGCGCAATCGAGGCCCGATCAGGGCCCGACGGTGCAATCGGGGCCCGATCGGGGCCCGACGGTGCAATCGGGGCCCGAGCCCGATCGGGGGCCCGATGGTGCAATTTCGGGGCCCGAGCGGGCCCGACGGTGCAATCGGGGCCCCGATTGCACCGTCGGGGCCCGATCGGCCCCGCTTGCGCCATCGCGGCCTGATCGCACCCCCAACTCAGTCAGTCGGGCCCCGTCAACTGTACCAAGCTGGCTTTTGCTAGATACAGTTGTAAGGCCGCATCCTAAACCCGCGTTGAGCTATGAAGTGGCAGCTGGGGTTGCACCACGGGACCATCGGGCCCCGGGGCCCCGACGGTGCAATCCATCTGCCCGGTGAACCTTGCAAATCATCCGCGTGGAACCCTTGGAGCCTTACCCCATAGCCCTTGCAGCCTCGTGGCATTCTTGGAACTTAAAGCCCACCAAGTAATACTCAGCAATGCCAAGCATTTACTCTGTTGCACAGTGAGTCCTGCAGCAACGTGATCTGATTTGCCACAAAGCCAACATTTCGGGCCGCGTTGCAAGTGACAAAACAGTGATAGTGTGCTGAAAACCATTGATTTCGGTTTTGCTTAGTGTTCCGCCCAGGAGCCCTCAATGTACTGCTCCGATGGCTGTTCAGACGGCGCACGACACACTGCTTCTCTCCAGGGCAAACCACGGAACCTTGCAGAACATTTCTGGAACCCTTGTAGAATCCTTGTGGAGCTCTGCGCAACCCTGTGAAAGACCATCCCGCATCCCTCGCAGAACCTCGTCTTTTAACAATCTCGTGAAACTACCTTTCAGAAATTGGGGGAACTTGGTGGACCTTCATGGAACCTTACCCGGCCCTTTGGAACTGTCGTGGAACTGTGGCGGGCCACCCCGCAGCCCTTGCAGAAGCTGGTGGAACCTGCATGGTGGAACCCTGATAAAACGGGGGCCGCCTGGTGCCTGCACGGTTTTTTCGTTCGTTTTTGCACGGTGTTTGCGGGACCTTGCCGCGCCTCGCCGCGCGGGCTCGGGATCCACGCGCAGGGTTAGGGCCGCGTGTTAGAAGGGGGGCATGGAGGCTGGGTGTCGGGCCAGACAAAGGTGTTCAGAGGTCGTCGCCTTTCGTTTTCCATCACAGATTTCAGGCTCCCAGAGAAGGTTCCAGAGGCAGAAGCTTCAGGATGTTCAGAGGGTTCACACATTTTCACAGCGTTGCAGAAAAGGGTTCCGGATCAGACCAGAAAGGTTCCAGCGGGTTTTAGATCCTAAGCGTTCCAGAGGGGCTCCAGGGGTTCAGAGGGTTCTATAGGGTTTCAGACGCTTACAAGCTGAAGGTTGACATATCTAGCAGGACCGGTAGACGGTTCAAAGGCCAGAATCCACACAATAGCCACGCGCGGCGGGTTCAGAGGCCGGAACCCACACAATAGCCACGCGCCCCCCTGAAGCGCCAGAAATGGTCCTCTAGGTTTTAGAGGGCCCTCCGTTTTCAATGGATTTATGTTGGCGACACTTTGGAAGGCTGATGTCAGCCTTAGCAATGAATGTCGATCTGCTTTACAGCCGGCAGGCAGGAGGTGATGCAGAGCAGGAGGCGTGGAGCGAGGAGGCATGCAAGGCTGCTGCCGTGCTGATGACGCATTTTGCGCACAGGATACACAGGGACAAAAACGGCAAAGGGCAGAAGGTTCAGAGTCCAGAGTCACACCCTTCTCCCATTACAAAAAAAATCATGTCAGGCAGAGGCCTCCAGAGCCAAAGACAAGGACGTGGGCGAGGCAGGCGGAGTGGTCCAAAGGAGCCCTGCCTGCTCAGACTTGCCGTTCAGAAAGGTTCGAGAAGGTTCGAGGGGGTTCGAAACATTCCAAAAGGGTTCAAGGCAGTACCGCACCTTGCGAAAGTGCTGCACCTGCCGCGAAATCTAGCGCCGCGCCTGCCACGAAATCTGCACCTGACCTTGCGAAAGGGCTTCGCTTGCCGGGAAGGGTTCCTGAAAAGTTCTTGCCACAGGGTCCCAGACAGTTCCAGAGGGGCAGAAGGTTCTATACAGTTTTGAAGGGATCGAGAGTGTTCCAGAATCTAGGAAGTTTCAGAAGGCTCGTTGCGGACACGGGCAAGGGAGGCGGATTCTGTTTCGAGGGTTAATGTGTAGCAAGCAGGCGGGTCTCACTTTTGTTTGAAGGGGCTTGCCACAAGTAGGCCCTGGTTCCAGAAGGTTCCATGCAGAGGGGTCTGAAGGTCCAAAAAAAAATCGGGGTTTCAGAGGGCTCTGAAGAGCTGCAGGGAGTTTCAGAAGGGGTTATGAGCTTCCAGATGGGTTTCGTACATTTCCAAAGCGTCCAGCAAGCTTTCAGCATTGATGTCTGAGGGGCGAACTAGGTTTCTGAATTGACGGTCACGGCTCTTTTTGACGTGCCTTAAGGGCTCCAGAGGGCAAAGAAGTGGCAAGAAGGGTTCCTGAACAGTTCTTGCGAAAGGGTCCCAGACGGTTCCAGAGGGGTTTCAGAAGGTTCTATACGGTTTTGAAGGGTTTCAAAGAGTTCCAGAACACTTCTAGGGAGTTTCAGAAGGCTCCAAAACCAAAAAAAAACGTTGACATGCCTTCCACTCAGAAGGGCTCCAGACGGCAAAAGGGTTCCAGACGGTTCCAGAGGGCTTTCAGAAGGTTCTATACAGTTTTGAAGGGTTCCAAAGAATTCCAGAACACTGCAAGCACGAGGACACGGGCAAGCGGATTCTGTTTTGAGGGTTAAGGTGTAGTAAGCAGGCAGGGTCCCACTTTGGTCTGAAGGGGCTTGGCACAAGTACCACCTGACGAGGGGTTGCAGAGGGGCTGCAGAGGGTTCCAGAAGGGTTGCATGCAGAGGGGTTTCAGAAGGTTCAAAAAGGTTCCAAAGAATGGATTGAGAAGTTAGAAGGGTTGCAAGAGTTTCCAGAGTCGTTCCAGAGGGTTCCAGAGACGGTCCATAGTTCTGCACGTTTCAGAAGGTTACAGAGAGTGCCAGAAGGGGTCCAGACAGGTTCTCGAAGGGTCCAGAGCCGGCTGTGTCGGAAAAAACCGCTGTCGGGAGGAAGTGAGCGAGCACACGCCAGAGCAGAGGCGAGACGTCCGAAAGTGGCAGTTCTTTGAGCTCAAAGCGGCCAGAGTGCGCGGCGCTGCAAATGCAGCAGACCGGCTGGCACCCGACTTCGCAGGCCAAACAGATCTGCGTGCTCGAATCGCATTCGGTGCAAGGGTGAGTTTTTTGCTGTGCGGGTATGATTGGGTTACCGATAAAACCTTGTGGACCTGGTGGAACCTTTACCTCAACCCCGGACCACGCCGCTGGTGGAACTCTGGTGGAACCCTGGTGGAACCTCGTGGAACCTTACCTCAACCACGAACCGCCCCGCAGAACCTGATGGAACCCTGCATGGTGGATGAACCTTACCTCAAATCACCCCGGACCACCCCGCAGCCCTTGCAGAACCTGGTGGAGAACCTCGTGGAACCTTACCTCAAACCACCCCGGACCACCCCGCAGCCCTCGCAGAACCTTGTGGAAATCTGGCGGAACCTCTCGTGGAACCTCACCTCGGGGCCGCCCCGGACCACCCCGGAGCCTATCTGGGCTGAGGCCCCAAAGCTTTCAGCTGTTGGGGAAAAAGAACGAAAAAGAGACGGCTTTCCCGCTCGCTTTCTCCATTTCAAAAACCCAACCCGCAAAAAACCCCGGCGCCATTTTTTTGGATAAAAATCCCCCACCCCAAAGAAAAAAAACGAAAAAGAGACCGCTTTCCCGCTCGCTTTCTCCATTTCAATAAACCCAACCCGCAAAAAAACCCGGCGCCATTTTTTGGATAAAAATCCACCCCAAAGAAAAAGAACGAAAAGAGACGGCTTTCCCGCTCGCTTTCTCCATTTCAAAAAACCCAACCCGCAAAAAACCCCGGCGCCATTTTTTTGGATAAAAATCCACCCCAAAGAAAAAGAAAGAAAAAGAGACGGCTTTCCCGCTCGCTTTCTCCATTTCAATAAAAACCCAACCCGCAAAAAACCCCGGCGCCATTTGTTGGCCCAAAGAAAAAGAACGAAAAAGAACGAAAAAGAGACAGCTTTCCCGCTCGCTTTCTCCATTTCAAAAAACCCAACCCGCAAAAAAATCGGCGCCAATTTTTGGGACACAAATCCCCCCCCCCAAGGAAAAGAACGAAAAAGAGACGGCTTTCCCGCTCGCTTTCTCCATTTCAATAAAAACCCAACCCGCAAAAAACACCGGCGCCATTTTTGGGATAAAAATCCACCCCCAAAGAAAAAGAACGAAAAAGAGACAGCTTTCCCGCTCGCTTTCTCCATGTCAAGAAACCCAACCCGCAAAAAAAAACCGGCGCCATTTTTTTGGGATACAAATCCCCCCCCCCCCAAAGAAAAAGAACGAAAAAGAGACGGCTTTCCCGCTCGCTTTCTCCAATTCAAAAAGCCAAACCCGCAAAAAAAACCCGGCGCCATTTTTTGGGATAAAAATCCCCCCCCCCCAAAGAAAAAGAACGAAAAAGAGACGGCTTTCCCGCTCGCTTTCTCCATTTCAAGAAACCCAACCCGCAAAAAACCCCGGCGCCATTTTTAGGATACAAATGCCCCCCCAAAGAAAAAGAACGAAAAGAGACGGCTTTCCCGCTCGCTTTCTCCATTTCAAAAAACCAAGCCCGCAAAAACACCCGGCGCCATTTTTTGGATACAAATCCCCCCCCCCCAAAGAAAAAGAACGAAAAAGAAACGGCTTTCCCGCTCGCTTTCTCCATTTCAAAAATCCAAACCCGCAAAAAACCCCGGCGCCATTTTTTGGATACAAATCCCCCCCTCCCCAAAGAAACAGAACGAAAAAGAGACGGCTTTCCCGCTCGCTTTCTCCATTTCAAAAAACCCAACCCGCAAAAAACCCCGGCGCCATTTTTTGGGATACAAATCCCCCCCCCCAAAGAAACAGAACGAAAAAGAGACGGCTTTCCCGCTCGCTTTCTCCATTTCAATAAACCCAACCCGCAAAAAACCCCGGCGCCATTTTTTTGGATAAAAATCCCCCACCCCAAAGAAAAAAACGAAAAAGAGACCGCTTTCCCGCTCGCTTTCTCCATTTCAAAAAACCCAACCCGCAAAAAAACCCGGCGCCATTTTTTTGGATAAAATCCCCCCCAAAGAAAAAGAACGAAAAGAGACGGCTTTCCCGCTCGCTCTCTCCATTTCAAAAAACCCAACCCGCAAAAAACCCCGGCGCCATTTTTTGGGATACAAATCCCCCCAAAGAAAAATAACGAAAAAGAGACGGCTTTCCCGCTCGCTTTCTCCATCTCAATAAACCCAACCCGCAAAAAACCCCGGCGCCATTTTTTGGGATACAAATCCCCCCCCCCAAAGAAAAAGAACGAAAAAGAGACGGCTTTCCCGCTCGCTTTCTCCATTTCAAAAAACCAAGCCCGCAAAAAACCCGGCGCCATTTTTTGGAATAAAAATCCCCTCCCCCCCCCCCCCCCAAAGAAAAGGAACGAAAAAGAGACAGCTTTCCCGCTCGCTTTCTCCAAATTTATTTCACGGGCCGAGGCTGGAGCTCACCGGGGGCCACCTCAGCCGCAGCACCCTGGAGATGCACCAAATGGCCTGGTGGGACGTGGCCGGGCGGGGCTTCCTGCCCGCCTTCGCGCCTCGGATTTCGGATCCCACGGCGAGACGGAGATCAAACGGAACGAAATGGCCGCGGTGAGGGAGGTGAAGCGGCAGTTCCGAAAAAAGGCCCAAAGCTCGAAGTGGGTCAAAAGCACCGGCATTTTTTTGGACCTTTCGGATTTTTTTCCGTTTCTCACTTCCTGAGTTTCTGGACTTTCAACTTTTTGGGAAGACCATGTTGGTGGTAAGTAGAAAGTTCAGACTTTTTGGCCAATCCACGCAGGAAGTGAGCGTTTGGTCCACTTTCAAAGGTCACGCAAAGTTGACCTGATATTTCTGGGTCCTTTGGTGACCTGTCACCCGGGCAAAACAAGTTGTTTGAGGCCAGGAACTCTGCTGAAGACGTGATACCAAGGGCTTTTAGCGCTAGGACCACTGCCGCCGGCCACTTCTGCCGGCTTCAAGGGCCTGTTGCCACAGGGCCCAAGGCCCAAAAGGCGACGAGATGCTCACGGCCCAAAACGAGGGGTTGCTGTGGCACGCCAATGGAATCCACAGAAGAGCCTCCCGAAATCAACCGAAATAACTTCAGCTCTCGGATTGGCTTGGGGAAATTCCAGTCGACAGCGCCCATCTGGCACAACGATCCTTTGATTCTGGGCCCGGAGCTTTCCTGACCGGTGAGGTATTGCGCTTAGGGCTCTTGGATCGTATCCTGAAAAATGATGCAGGAAAACTGCTTGCTTAGGGGTGTTTGAGGCCCTACTTCCAACACCCTGTGTTTTCGGTGGTTTTTGTTTTGGCGGGAAACCCGGTTTTCCAGTGTAAATACATCCCTTGTTGGCCTTAGGGCCGACATCACACCCTAAGAAAAGCGGGTATTGGGTTTAGGATGTACTACCCCCGTACCTTTCAATCCATCAAAGATGTCGCTGAGTTTGGTGTGTTGGGTCTTCATGTTGCATCCAACAGTCCAGATATTCGAACCTGGTTTGGGCGATAAGCATCTGGTCCCCCAGTAGTGCCCGTTCTCACTTTCTTGGGGGGGGGATTCTGTACTAAAATAGACTACAGGAAAAAGTTGGTACCCTTATTCTAACTTCTCTACTGGAGGACCTAGTATATGCAGCATACATTTCAGTTGGCCACGGTTTCATCAAGCTTGCCCCTGGTTGAAGGTTAAGATCTTGCCCACTGCCTTTGCCGACCCTTGGCACTAGGGTCAAGTGCCCACATGCGTGTTGGTCACAACTTCCTTCGGCTTTTAAGCGGTGGTAGTGGAATCCTTGGAGAAGAGTCAAGCGTGATATGATCAGGGTTCCAAGGGGCTTTGCTTAATCAGCTGGTTCAATTCGGCTCACAGACTCAAGTGTCCACATACGGCATGCTGACAGACTTTAAGAAGCTAAGCAACCCTATGAGGGGAACTTTACAAAACCTATTCGAACATACGGTGGAGTCCTGCACCACCTAATAAACCCTAGAGCGATGATTCCCCTTGTAAATACCAACGACCAATGGTTTCCTGTGGTTTCAAAGTGGTGCGAGTTGGATTTTGTCCATCCACAGAATAAATAAACTGGGGTTGATTAATATGGGTTGACACTAAACATGTACAAGACCTATTCTGACATACCAGTTTGGTTTGGTATGGTTTGGTTTACTACAAACAAGAAGTAAAGCAAGATAAAGCAAGCCTATGAGAGGAACTATAGAAAACGTATTCTAACATATGGTTTGGTGAGCTTTCTCCATGGGAATCCTTTCTTTTTGGTGAGCCGACATGACACGGAAGCGAAGCGTCGGAAGCGAAGCCCCGGACTGCTTTGAGGATCCGATCAAGCAGCTGCCGCCGCCCTGGGACCATCTCAGAGCCTTGCCGCAGAAAGCAAAACGAGCTCGAGCTCAGTGAGGACGAAGCATAGGGGGAAGCATCCCCCATTCTTTCCGGGGATCCTGCTTGTTATGTGGAAACCACAAGCAGGAAACAACAGGCAACACAGACAGTTTTGAAAGAAAGAATGGTTGAACTCATGGAGACTCAACTGGTTCCTTGACAGTCTACCTGCAACAGTAAATTTCGCCCATAAACACACTTTTTTTGTTGCGCGAGTTTCACCTGCTAGAATTAGAAACAGCACCCCCGAAAGACTTCCCATGGTCACCGGGCAACTGAACATGGGGGTGGGCATGTAACAGCTGGTTTTGTACTTTTATAAGAGTTTGTTTCTATGTTTGCTGCTGTTGTGTAATCTTCTTTTCTGTTCACTTATTTTTGGGGGAGCTGCGAGAAGAGCCTTGAGTGGTTGCTCACGCCAAGGGTCCCTGGCCGTGCAGGGAACAATATGTGCACCTCCCAGGCCACGCTTTTCAAGTTACATCCCCCCGCAAAAATTACGTAGCGTAAGGAACCCAAAACGGTCCCTCAAAGGGCGTCGTCTCATGGCTCTTCCGCTGGTTATGTATTCTACTATTCGAGCTGTAGCCGCATTCTTTCCCAGAATTGATCTTTCCAGGAATGCGGCGACCTGGAAGAATGGACGAATATGGTGAGGATCGAACTGTAGACAAGGGTTTACACCCCTGTGCGTTCCTTCTGTCAGGGTGATACACTCCCCCGTGAACATAAATAGTCCTCCACTAACATAAGCCCCTTCCTTGATTGGAGCGCTTGGTCCACTCTGGGAAGCTCCCTAGAGAAGGCGGCCTGCTGGGGAGGCTACTATTCTGGCCGTACCCTCACCATTTCGTTTAGAGATGGGGAGTGTCCAACACCCCTGGCCTTTGATCTTACCATAGGTGTTTTGGGTTGGGGGAAGGGCATTCTCAACCAAAAAAAGACTGGTTCTGGGTCCAAATAAACCCACCGCAAGTCCGCTGGTTTTAGTCCGTGTTTGCATTTCCCAGGGTTACATTTGGGATACCCTGGGTTCCACTTTTTGATTATCTCTCAAATAGACCTAAACTCAGGGGTGTTTCATTCCTCCCAAAAAGAGAACTGGGTTCAAGCCCACCCCAAAAAGACTCAAATCAGGGATGGCTAATTCCCGAAGAACCGCTGGGTTTGAGTCCCGAGCTTCCACTAGGTCCCCCTGTGCCCTTTCTCACCCCTTTTTTGGGGGAGGGTTCCCCAACTGAAATAGACTACAGGAAAAAGTTGGTACCCTTTTTCTAACTTCTCTATTGGTGGAGGACCTAGGGGAAGCGTCCCGATTCTTTCCAGGCATCCTTCTTTCTAAAAAGCCACTCAAATCCCTGAAAAAAACAGCGATTGAACAAACATGGAAGAGGAATCAACCCCTGGAACTTGTGTAGGTAACCAGCCATTCTCCTTTGGGTTCTCAAAAGTGGTTCCCTTGGCCCCAAAAGGTGATGTTAAAACCCGCTGACGGGTTATCAGCCCCTAGACTACCTCTTCTTCAGGGGGAGGGAGCCCAAATAAGCCTTTTTTCAGCCCCTAATAAGGCCTTAATAAGGGCTTTGGGCTCCCTCCCCCGTGCCATGGACACCTAGAGTCTATTTTGCAACCATACCACAAAAAACCAATAATCCAAAAGAAGGAGGTTGCAAAATAGACCCTCCCCCCCTCCTTCCCCCCCAGCCATGACTTCTTACGCCCGCTGCCCCCACTGCACCCCCGGTGCCTCAGGCGCGGTGCTGCAGGTGCTGCCGGCCTACGCGGTCCAGGGCCGCTTCCCAGAGCTCGCGGAGGCGGAGCTCAAGGGCCGGCTGCCCGTGACCGCCGCCCGCCGGGAAGGAAGTGGTGTGGCCCTTTTGCACAAAGCGGGCGTCCTTTTCCCCACTGGCCCGGTGGCGCCCCCTTTTTTCCGTTTTTTTTTTGGGGGGAAAGGTTCCCCTTCTTTTCCAGGGCTGTTGGGAAACATTGGAAACAGTTTTGCTTATAGTGGTTTAGTGGTGGAAATCCAAATCCACTTAACGGCTAAAATTTGAGAATTTGTGCTCCCCTTCCAACGTCAACCAAGTTTCTTTCCCAGTGGCGCCCTTTTTTCCCTTTTTTTGGGGGCAGGATTCCCCTTGAAGCTCAACCAAACAAAAAAAGGATGCCCTTTTTTCCCATGGCCACTGGGCATCTGAGTTTCAGACAAACAAACAAGCAGGGATACCGGGGAAGGGATGTGGGCATATGTTTCAGGTAACATTTAGACATAGTTTCCTTTACAGAGAGTCCTCGCACAGCCCCGCGTCCCCCGTATCCCCGCGAATTCGTTGTCCCAACGTTTTTTTAAAGGCGACCCCCCCAGAAAAGACCCACTTCAAAGCCAAAAAAAACGTGCCCTCCGAAAAAGACACATCCAAAGCTGCTTAAAGATCAATGCCCTGGCCATCTTTGAAGGGAGAGCTTACAAGGACATGCTTCCCTGCAGAAAAGGAACCCCACCCAAACAGAAGCTACAGCTTTTTCCAGGTGTCCGAGTTTGGACGAAAAGCAATGGCTTAGGAAGACGCGCTGGATAGCCTGAACGAGGGGGAGCTCGAGGCCCTGCACTCCATGCTGGGCTATGTCTGAGCCTTTCCCGCACGGCTCCTGAAGCCGAGGATAAAATGGACTCACCGAGGATAAAACGGGTAGGTAAGTTGATCCACCGGTCCCTCATGATCGTGCCCTTTTGTCAACTTTTGTTTCGGGGAGGGTTTAGTGCAGAAAAGAGTTGGCACCCTTATTCTAACCTCTCTAGTGGAGGACCTAGCACCAAAGTCCTTTGCCCATGGCCAAGTTTTCTGGCATTCCTTTGTGGTCGTTGACGTTTAAAGGAGGCATGCAAAATGTCCTATAATAGGTCATGCCTTACCTCGGGCCCCAAATGAGTTGGAAGTTTTGCGTGGGTTGCCTTGTGGTGCCCGTGCATCTTGAACAACTGGGGTCGATGTGGAGGTTGTGCCTTGGTTATTCGCGGTTGTTCCGGTGGTCAGGTGTTGTGGTGGGGGAATTGTTGGGGGAATTGTTTGCCTTTGAGAATATAGCTTTTTGCTTTGTCCCTTTCCCGTCTGCACCTTGACGCGGAAACAATAGACACCCCCCATTGGTAGAGGAATCTGCGCGGGTGGCCCCTCCCACCCCACCCTGCCCCAGCCGTTTTTGTCTCACTTAATTGATGGCAGCCTGTCGCCATGAGTTGTGTTTCCTCCTTCGGGGGGGCACCGAAATCTTGGTTCTGCTTTTGGTTTCCCTTTCAAGCCACAAACAAGGGGCACTCTGGAAAAAGAAACAAAAACAAAAAAACAAAAACACAAACCCTGGGGGAAAAAAGAACAACAACAACAAAAACAAAACACAAGCCCATCTGGCGTCCAGATTAAGACGCATGCGCCAAGGCCTGGGCTTCATCAACAAAATCCCGGAGATCTATGAGGCTGATGTCAGCTGGTTTCAGGCTTAGGTGCCTTTGTTTATCCTTAGGACCTTAGGATTGGTGGTTCTTTGGTGGGTCTTGGTGGTTTATGCTCTTCTTTTAGGCTGAGTGGTGTCTCTTGGTGATTCATGTTTCTTCGTGGCTTGCGTTGTTTGCATTTGCCTGTTTGGTTCCGTTCAATGGTTCGGGCACCGTGTTTGGCCAGCATGCCAGGGGTTGGGAAGCAGGCCTTTCTATGTTAAGCCGGGAAAGTCTATTTGTGGTTGTTTAGACGCTGCCCAGTTGCCCCCGCAGAAGACCGCTCGCAACCATTCTTCAAATTAGGAATAGTGTCCCGTTGGTTTCCCTTTAACACCTGCCCATCCCTTTTGGTTGATTTGGTGGAACAATGGAGCGCCCTGGTTTACCTGGTTCAGCCAACTACCAGGGCCAATGTTCCAAAAAGGAGACCTATGCACCTGGCAATCTGTTTTTTCTCCGGTCCAGTTTTCTCGGGCACGGGGACCAGGACCGATTGGACGTGAGACGTTGGACCGCGTGTTTTTGTTTTTTTTGGGTGTTTGTTCGCCAGGACAGCAGCGTGGACATCATCGCGGGGCCCAGGGAGAACCTGCAGGAGCTGCCCTCATGGCTGGCCAGGCCATGGAACCTTAGACCAAACTTCTGGCGCCGGGAGCGAGCCGGGACTGCGAGCGAGCGCGCGGATCGGCGGATTCACTGAAGGAAGGTCACTCCAGAGGGCAACCCAAAATGACATCCACATGTTTTGTGTAATAATCCGTTTTACCAGCTTGAAGGGAGCCTGCCACTAGTCAATTGTGCTAAGGAGACTACGGAGTGCGTTGTTCCATGATTGAGGCTTCCTATGTGAGCCACGCTTATGGCTCCCTCTTTGCCATGCTAATTGGCCAACAGCCCAAGGATGGTCAGAGGCAGCCCGAAACCCCTCACAAGGGGTGGCTATCTCACAAAACTTTCTCCATGCCAGTAAAGAGATCCGTCAAGGCCCCAAATGACCCCAGAAAGGTTTTCAGGTCCTTTTCTATCTGAGGTTCATGTCCATACGCAGCCGTTTTCCGTGCTTTGTTGTTTGTCAACTTGCTCGCTTCAAGCGGCGATTCTGAGGATCTCTGTGAGTGAGAAGCTGGGCAGACGCCCGATGCTGGACTATGCAGGATGTGTGCTGAACAACTGGGAGCGGATTGACCCAGAGGCCTGGGGTTACGTTGACCCAGAGGCCTGGGGTTACGTTGATCCAGAGGCCTGGAGGAGCAAGAAACAACAACAAGTCAGGTTTAGCTTGGCCCAGTGCTGCCCTACAAAATGGCTTCTAGGGGTCATCATCATGTCAAAACTTACAACGCATGCAGCAAGAAGCCCTCACTCACTTGCCCACCTTGTGGCCTTTGAGTTTCCCCTTGTTGGCCCAGTGCTGGCCTCTTGAAAGCTACGAAAACGAAGGTTGTTAGGGACCAACAAGTGTATGCCTTGTCGTCTGGGTCCTTTTGGCAACTGAGCTCATCTTCTGTAGTGGCTTGCCTAGAAGCACTGGGCGGGATTTCAACCAGGCAGGAGCGCGTCATTCCGAATGGGCGTAACATGAGCGATGTCGGACCCTGTGCTTTGCTTGGGGATCGAGTCTTAATTATTTTTGCAGAATCTTCCTGGTCGCAAGGCAGCTGATACCCAAGGCTGCCTCAATCGGAACTCTTGGACTCCTAAAATCTAGCCCATGTCCAAATGACTGTCATGACTGTCCAAAGATTCTAAGGTGTCCAAAGGAAGCCCAAAAGGGAGGGACCTTTCTCCGCAACAGCTGAAATCTCTGCCCAGATAGGCTCTGGAGTGGTTTGGGGCAGATTTCATGCGGGGTTTGGGTTCTGGAGGGTTTCGGGGGCGTGTTGAGAATATGGCTGTGGGTCAGAACCAATCGTACCGTTTTGGGGTAGGTGCACCACTCAGTTTGATCTATTTTAGTGGGCATTGGGATGTTCACTGGGGGGTATTGGATTTTGACCCATGGCCATATCACCTGGGCTTCTTCATTGTTCCATATTTGTTGTGATCTTGCTTACGGCATTTGAGGGCCCAGTGACGCCCTCCAACGTGCGCCTGCTGCGGCGCTTTACCGGCCTGGTGGACGAGGAGTGGTTCTTCAAGACTCACATCATCATCGAGGCCCGGCGCGAAACGCGCAAGGGCACCTGTGAATGCCACTTGCTTGGACACTCCCCTTTTATTAAACAAGTGTGGTGCATAGCCAGACGTAAGACAGGATAGTGAGCATACTCAAGCTCTTTTGTTCTCTCCCCCCCCCAGAAGATGCTCAATGTTAGTGTATCCGTTGTGCCAAGCGTGAATCATTTGGTGTTTCTTAAGACTTTAGGATATGACTCGTGTCACTGTGGGTGGTTCATGTGCCCTTGCTGGGCTTTTTAAGACGTAAACGTCCAAGTGTTGCATGAGGTTTCGGCAAAGACTGCCTTTCCGAACATGTTGGTTTCAAAAATGCGAGGGTCAATAATGCTTGAACAACTCATCAAATGGAGGTGACCCTGTCTCTAAATTTGAAATTTGAGAAAGCACCCAAAGTCTAGAGAGTGAGGGAGGAGAAAAAAGAAAACTTCAGAGTTCCAGCCGGTCATGCCAGGGCCGCTGGAAGAAACCGGATCGCAAGCTCGGCCTGGGCTTCATACGATTTCCCGGTTTGCTGATGGAGTCGTGGATTGAAGTCCGGCCAATGTGATGGATACTGCAGAACAAAGGCCCAGATAGTTAGAATGGGAGCGTGGAGTACCATTTAGCCACGCCCCTTTTCCGGAGCATTGAGACATCCCCTTGTTTGTCTCGCATGTGGGTGTGCCTGTTTTGAGGAATGAACGAAAAACATGGGAAACCAAAAGGAGGGGACCACCATTTTCGCGGGGTCCAAAGTCCAAATCACCCCATTCCCGCTCCCCCCACCCCCCCCCACCCCTCCCCAAAACCCACTCCAAGGTCCGAATCCAGACCCATGGTTCGGCACGCCAGGCTGAAGGCAGCCACGTGGTGAGCAGTTTGGAGGCGATCTCCAAGGCGATGGCGTGGCTTGGCTTAGTCCTTTGGGGTCTTACCTCGGGCAAGGCGGGACCAGAAGCTGGTTTCCACCACTCAAACGGGCAGTGGGTCAAAAATGGGTGCCCAAAATAGAACCCTGGTAACTGGAACCCATGACTAAAACAGGCGGTCCCCGGTGGCTTGATTTTGACCCACGCCCAAACCACTACCTTGAAGAGGGAAACGGAGTATGTACCCTTTATATAGTGGCTGTGCAGTGGTTGAATCCATGTCACCACTGGAGGTAGTGGTTTGGGGGTAGTGCAAACCATCTTCGAACGGGAGAAGAACGACTGGTTGATTTCCACAGAGAGAGAGAGAGAGAGAAACAAAAACAAACAAGAAACAAGAGAGAGGGGTGTCTTGTGGTTTTGAGTTTTGAGCTCGGAGAGACCCCAACTTCGGGGTCAAGATTGGCAAGCGGCAACTTGTGTTCTTGGAACATCCTGCTCCGAGCAGCTGAAGGCGGGTCCTCTTCTTTTCCTGCAGCCAAGCTTCCAAGCTCCAGGGAAATTGGGGCCCGGCTGACAGCCTCGTTTTTTTTGCCTCTTTTTCTGGCAAGGGATTGTAACTGGGTAGCCTGCAGACCTTGATTTGCTGCCCGTTCTGGCCTAACCATGAACTGTCTATCGTACCACATTTAGCCCGCCAGAAGTGGAAATTTGGCAGCACCACGAGCTTTTTGATTACGACGATTTTGAGCCCAACTGTGGCTTTTTGAGATAATCTTTGAACTGCTAACCCAAAGTGAATTTCAGCCCAACTTGCTAGCAGGGCTCCTTGCAGATGTTGGACAAGCCAACCGCTGCCCAGTGCAGGCATCAGTTGCAATTCTTGGAACTTCCGGTTGGTTTCGATGAAGAATTGCTGGTTGGATTGCTGCATTTGTAAGACAACTATCCCAGAAACCGCCCAGTTATTCGGTGGCACCCTTTTTCAATGTGTTTGATGGGTTCCCCACTCAAATCGTTGACCCGCTTCAGCCCTTTTCTTGGTTCCATTTTCTACCAGGGTTACTGGTTGCAACGGGGAAGGGCACGGCTCGGTTGCTTTTTGAGCTGAGGAGCGAGAACTGGCACAACCTGTTGCAGGCTTTGCGCTCGTTGGAGGAGGCATTGTGGCGCCTGACCTCCGTGTGCCTGCCTATCATGCCCCTCGGCCGAGGATTTTGGTTGAGGCAACGCCAGCATGAATCTCGGGAGGAGATGTTCGTGCACAGAAAGGCCTATGTTGTGAACCGCTGTCCATGTTGAAAGAAACATGGGTGTATCTTTTCTAGGACCCCCAAAAAGATGATTTTCCGGTCGGTTAAACCAATCCAAAGTTGAACACCGAGCCTCAAAAAGACGACCCCGCATGCAGAATTCGGCCCATGAGATGTGAAGGAATAGGGTTGAAACCCACCCCCAGATCCGGCGGCCGAAGCACCAATGACTCCAAACGGTTATTGGATTTGCCCGCGTTTCTCCAATTGACTCCGATGGGTGTGTCTTTGTCCCCTGTTTGTGGCTTTTAAGGAGGCCAAAAGAAATCCGCGATGTGTTTTGTAATTTGTAATTGTTGTGTTTTCTGGTCCCCTACAATTGGACATACCCAGATTACGCTGTGGTTAATCTTCCAAATGGCTACTTCCTAGCAAACTAGTGTGGGTGAGTGATTAGTAATGGCCCCCGCACCCACTCGCATGCCCCGGAAACAAATTTCGGGGGGCAATGTGGAAAAACCTAAGTAGTCTCTCAGTAAGTATGGCTCAGTACTGGCTGTATTTTTTAGTATGCTTTTGTACTGCCTTTGTATTGCTTTCAATACTGCGTAGTATTTGTTAAGAACTGGTTTAGTATTTCTTTGTGCTCGTCCAGTACTGTGCGTCAAGAAACACTTTTCTGTATTTCCTCTCTTTCCTGAATCTGTTCAAGGGGAATCACTTTGGGCAAGTATGCCTGCCCATTTATGAATCGCTACCCGACATTAACATGGAACTCGCACCCACACACACTTCCTCAACGGAGATTCTCTTAGCTGCAAAGCAATTCTTGCTGTCTGCTACCAGTCATTTGATCTCCTGATCTTTCTTCAGCCCCCCCGCCCCGAAAAAGAAGCAACACAAATAATAAGAATTGAACGATGAACTTACTTCGAAACCTCAGAGGAAGTAATCTAGCTAGTTTGGCCGACTCCAGATCGAAAGATCGGGGGCAGGCTCGCTATGTTGCCGGTTGGACCTGCCTCCCGCTACCCAAAAACTGCATTTGAACAGGTTGACCTGCAAAGGCCTGGAGGCACGCAGATCTTGCGCATGGAATCCGACAAGAACATGTGATACATTTATGTATTCTCTGTAGGCATAGTAGTAGTGGTAGTGCTCATGTTAATACAACTAGGTCCCCCAGTAGTGCCCTTTTACCTTTTTTGGGGGGGAGGGTTCCCCTACTAAAATAGACTACAGAAGCAAAAGGTACCCTTATTCTAACCTCCCTACTGGAGGACCTATTCATTCTCTGTAGGCATACCAGTAGCAGTAGTGGTAGTACGTAGTGGTTAGCACAAGCACCAGCACTTGAGTGAATGTGGGCAAAGTGTGCCTCACTTGAGAGGTTCCTGTTGGGCATGGGCAAATTTCTGGACAACGTGGGTTTCCACGAAGGTCGCATCAAGTGTTTTGGGCAGGGAAGCATAGGTTCTGGAGCCAGGGCAAATTGCCCTGCAAGTGCAACTATAGGAAAGGCCTCCCGATTGTGACTGCGGGCTTCCGTTTCTTTCCCCAGACGTCAGGTTTGCGCGATCCCCCGAGGACACGGGTTGAGGGGGCCTGGCAGACGTTGAGGATGCTGACCCTGGAACCTCACTCTGTGAGTAACTAAGATTTCGTGGCGTTGAAGTTGTGTATCCCCAGCCCCGTAAGTGGATGGAGGGGAGGCATACTCCCCAAACCTCTGGGGGTGCAAGCCCTGTGGCCAGAAGAGATCCAGGGAAAACAACCGCGAGCCCCAACTCACCTTTACTCCTTAGACGTACTCTTGGGTTCCCCACTGAAAGCAAGGCCTCCGATTTGTTCTCAGATGGGAGGTTTGATGTCAGCACAAAACGTCAACCTGCAACTCCTCACCACCCTCCAACCATGGTTGTCGTTTCTTTTGTTTCTTTTCTAATAAGGCTTATTGTGGTTTGGTGGGAAACCCCCACCCAACTGCCAAACAAACTAGATTGTTGCTCCACTTCCAACGTCAACCATGCAACGTCTTCGTCGCCGTTTTGAGTCGCATGTGGCGCAGTGGGGCCATGCGGGGCGCATTGCAGGACCGCACGCTTTTGTGTGAGCCGTTCCTCTTCTACTTCCGGCTTCGGAACTACATCAAGTCCCTGGATGCCGCTCAAGCGGTCGGCTTAAGGAGCCCTAGGGAACCCTAGAAAAACTCCACTACCCACCCCCTTGTACCTACCCCCTCGGATGGGATTCCACAACTTTTGCTTGACCTGTTTGTGTGGTGTTTGGCTTGGAGGGTCGACCATCGAGTGGCAGGTTAAAGGGAAATATAGGGAGCCCCCCGGTTTGGTCAAGAATATTTGGTTGAAGGGTCTCTTTTTCTCAGGATGGTGCAAAGGTCAGCACTTTTGCACTTGAGGTCTCAGACCCACCTATGGTGGCGCATCCTAAATATTGCAAGTAGGAAACAAGAGATCGACATTTGTTGCGTCTGGAGAATTGACTTGTATTTTTTTGAGGGAATCCACTGTAGCACGGGGCTGGGATCTCTGGAGGGTACGGATGTGTTTTGATCACCTGTTTTGGGGATGCAAGTGCTTCCCACTGGGTGTTTTATACTGGCTCCATGACCTTTTTTTTTTTTTTGGACTGGGATACCATGATGGTTGCTCCTGCGAACCTCAGAGATGGGACCACACAGAAACTTTTTGGGAATACCGCTGTAGTGGTAAATTGCAAGCTCGGACATTGTTTTTGCCGCTCCACGATTGTTTAAGCTGGCGCCAGGGCTGTAGAGCCACCCTGATGGGTTTTGAATCTTTCAGATGTTGGCCAAATGAGGTGAGGATGGAGGGAAGCGACGGCGAGCTCCGGGAGTTTCACTTGCATGGGCCTTCAGGCGGATGGGCAAACAGTTTTGGGGAGATGTGGTTCTTGGGGGCTGCCCTATGTTAGGGTTGTGTTAAAGGGTCAAAAGGAAACCATTCATAATCGGGCTCCTCCCACGTAGAGAAAAGAAACCATTTCTCACACGCGGCCACAATGTTGGCGAGCGATGTGGCCCAAGGCTCCTTCCACCTGTGCTTTGCCTGATTTGGGGATGGTGAAAAAGTTGGATCAGTCAGGCACTATGTTGAACGTGAAGGTTTGCTTTTAGAGCTTGGCCTTGCTATTTGCCTCCTCCTAGACTCCAAGCGCATTTTGTTGTGGAAACCAGGGAGGCCATCGATTAAGGGGTCCTTGCAAGCTTTTGCATCTCCTATTTTCCCAGGCTTTGAAGGAGACACTTAATCCTGGACCAACGATTGCAACATGTTCAATCGCCACTGTGCGGCAGGCCATGCGTGTTGCATGATGGTGCCAAGGAAGGGGTATGATCTCAGGCCTAGTGGTATTGTCGAAAGTTTTGAGAACGAGATGTTCAGCCTTTTGGGAGATTTCTAAACTGATCGCAGCAAGCAGATTGAACTTCTGTTCCTGTGAGTGTTATTGGGACTGCCGCCCTCGGGGGTTTGGAGCGAGAATCGGGGCCCGTGTGAAAATTGGCAAGCATTGAGGTTCAGCTGCGTTGTTCAGAATCGATCCTTTGTACTGCGTTCTTACGTATTGGCGTCCCGCTACGTGTTGCGGATGAGGCTCGGATCCCTCCTTTTGAGCAAGCCACTCTCCCTGTACTCCGAGAGTTCCTGCGCAGGCTCATTGCGTGTTTTTCAACATGGACCCCTTTTCGTTGCGGTTGCATTTGAATGGACGAAAGGAAACCAACAATTTTGGCAGCTTGGTTTTAGCGGGACGCCAAAAGGGCCAAGAAAGCTGCCATGTTTGTACCCGTACCCAGCACATACCCGGCACGTACCCCGGCACTGGTTCCGTCCAGGGATCGAAGGGTGACACCGTTCCATTTGCTTAAGAATATTTCTTTGTTGAATTTAAAATCAGGTACCCCTTAGTTGTTGGTTTGGATTGGTGGTTTGGGATTTGAACCCCTGGTTCTTGTGGAGGGTAGATGGGAAACCCCTCCTTAACGAGACCACCAATCCAAACCACCAATTGGAAGGAAGCTGATGAAAGTCTAGGGCTACCTTCCCCATTCTTTCCAGGGATCCTTCTTTTTCAGGAAACCATCAAAAGCCCAGGGGGCCCAGGGAAACAGCTGGTTTTTGAAAAGAACGATGTTTGAAAGTTGAATGGACAAGGAATCAACCCCGAGAAAAAGGGAATTCATCACTACTTGTTTTTCAATCCAACCACCAATTGAAAGGAGCTGATAAAAAAGGAATTCATCACTCTCGTTTGTTTTTTTCCTCCAGGGGGATTACGGCTTAACCTTGAAAGTTGAGAAGAATGGGAATCACCCCCCTAGGGAATTCATCACGCTGATAAACGGAATTCATCACTTGTTGCTTGTTTTTCATTCACACTGATTTGTTTCCTCCAGGCGGCTTAACCTTAAATAGAATCCAGAGGCGCCATGAGCACGATCTTGCCCTCCGTGGACGCGGCGCTGGGCATCCGCAACACCTCGGCAGAGCTTCGGGAGGCGAGCGCCGCGAGGGAAATGCGAGGGGCGTGGGGGCGCGCCGATCACCGACACCACCTGGAGATGGCTGTGGTCCCACCAGACTGAAGGGTCCTGGAAGATCTCAAGGGAGGCCTCTGGTGAGAAAGCTCTCCCTTCCTGTGGACCGTCCCTGTTAGGTGTGTGCAAATTTCAAAGACAATTGCCGTAGTTGTATGAATGGGATCCCATTCTGGGGTATGTGCACCACCCATTTTAGAACCTATTCTAGTGGGGATTGGGATGTTCATCGAGGGTACGGGATTTTGAAACCCATGGCCACATGGGTTTGTTGCACCGGAGCTTGGCTTCGTTTGGATGCGGAAAACTGGGGTATTTAGATGTATTTGCCTCCGGATTCTTGGCATTTAGCCTCCAATCTGCCAAGAGGAAAGCGCTCTTACGAAAGAGTCCTAGCATCTGGAAATGCTGGGAGGGAGGGTGGGGCCGAAGGAATGTCAAACTTGGCTTTTTTGGTTTGAAAGGGGGACCCAGCCCCAAAGTGGCTTGTGGATTTCGAAATGTTCACTTTTGTGGACTCAGTTCGAGTTCTCTGGTTCGTTGGTTCTGTGCAGTTTGAGGAGGCTGCTCGGAGCAGAGTTGGTTGTATGGAACGGGGCGTATTGTTCCAAACAAGGGGGTCATACAGCTTCGCCCAGCTTTTGCAAAGCCCACAACAAGATGGTGTCCCGGTCCCCCAGCAGTGCCCTCTTGCCAACAAAAGGGGGAAGGGTTCTCCCTACTAAAATAGACTACAGGAAACAAGGGTACGCGTATTCTAACCTCTCTACGGGAGGACCTAGGTGTTGCGTGGATCATGTTGCGCCGCACTATGAAATTTTCAGATGGCGCTCCATCGGGTCGGCGGGCCTCTCGGGGAAAGTGGTTGTTTGGACGATCGTCAAGCAATCGACGTGCGAAGACAAACTGGACTTGTTCCCGAAGGCCACACCGTCAACCTCGACAATAAGTATTGGGGACCTGATTGCAAACATGCGAATGGCTCCCCGGTAAAGGTCATTCCGCTTTGCTCTGGGTACCGTTTCCAAAGGAAGGGCCACGGCAAAAGGACCAAGGGGTCTTCGGATGTGATGGATGGTGGTTTGTGGGGCCCGTGAGCGTTCATGCTTGTGTTCAACAATGGATTTGCATTGGCACGTCCAAATGTCAGTTTTGCATGGGGCTTAATTACATCAGTTCACCAGCAATGCCAGATGGTAGTGGCTCCCTTGAGTCAAACTACGCATTTCGAATGTCCAAGGGTCCCCCCTGCTTCCGGAACCTCAGGGTTGTTTTGGGTGCTGCCAAGCTCTTTAAGCGAGGCCGTGAAGAACTTCGAGATGTACGTGCCACGCGCACATCGAGACTTCCTGAACAAGCTACGAAACTTGGGCCTGGGTTTCAATTGTGTTTGCTTATGGTGCGTGTTCATTGTTTGTTTGGTTGGTTGCTTGTTTGTTTGTTTGTGTGTTTGGCTGGCTGTTTGTTGGCGTGTTTGCTTGCTTGTTTGTTTCGTTGGTTAGCTGGTTGGTTGGTTGTTTGTTTGTTTGTTTAGTTGGTTCGTTGGTTGGTTGTGTATTTGCTTACTTGTTTCTTGGTCTGCTTGCTTGCTTGTTCAGTTGTTTGTGGGTTTGTTTGTCTGTTTGGTTGGTTGGTGGTTGGTTGGTGGTCGCTTGGTCGGAGTTTGTTTGCTTGTTCGTTCGGTTGTGTGTGTGTGTGTGTGTGTGTTTGTTTGCTTGCTGATTGTTTTTTTGATTGATTGTTTGTTTGTTTGTTTGTTTGGTTGTCTTTTTGTTTGCTTGCTTGGTTGGTTGTGTTTTTATTTGGTGGTTTGTTTGTTTGTTTGTTTGTTTGTTTGTTTGTTTGTTTGTTTGTTTGGTTGGTTGGTTGGTTGGTTGGTTGGTTGGTTGCTTGGCTGTGTGTTTGCTTCCCTTGTGTTTGTCTGTGTGTGTTTGTCTGTTGTTTTGTTGGTGCGTTTGTTTGTGTGTGTTTGCTTGTTTGTTTGGTTGGTTTGTTGGTGTTTTGCTGCCGTGTTTGTTTGTGCGTTTATTTGTTTGTTTGTTTGTTTGTTTGTTTGGTTGGTTGGTTGGTTGGTTGGTTATGTGTTTGCGTGTCTTTTTTGTTTGTTTGTTGTGTTTGGTCGCTTGTTTGTTTATTTGTTTGTATTCTGGCTTTTTGGGCTTCCGGGCAAGCCTGGCTTGCTTGCTTGTTGCTTTGTGTGTGCTACTTTCCTTGTGTCCTGTTGGCGTGTTTGGTGTGTGTTCTACTATTTGTTTGCTTGTTGGTTGGTTGGTTCATCCCAGGGGCCTGCATATGGTCTCATACGCTGAGTATGGAGAGCTTACCTTTCGGTCGTTACGTTCGCAGGTCGCACGTTCGCTGAGCGCGCGTTCGGAACGCGCGTTCGGCGTTCGGACTTGCAGGCCCCAAAGCCAGGCAAGTGACTTAAGGGGGACAGGTTTGCTTTTTGGCGCATTTTGGCGCCCTTCAAAAAGGCCAATCAGAGCAATTATATGCCTTTTGGGCGCCTCGAGGTCACCTTCGGTGTTTGCGGGCGCCCAAACCCAGCTTGTGTGCTTTTTTTCCTGGAGCGGGGGAGATTTGCTTTTTTGGGCATCGTCAAAAAGCTAAATCAGAGCGCATATGACCTTTTTGAGGCTTCAAGGTCACTTTCGTGCCTGGGGCCCCTAAGCCAACCATAGGAGGTACCTCGACGAGATGTCTAAATTGCTTTTTAGAGGGACGAGAAAGAGCATACATGATTAAGGTGTGAAGCCACTCAAGACTCAAAAGCAAACATAGGAGGTACCTTGACCCCATGTACTGGAGGGACGAGAAAAAGCAAATATGATCTAGGTGTGAAGCCGTCCAAGACTCAAAAGTAAACATAGGAGGTGCCTTGACGACATGTCCAAGTTGCTTTTTGGAGGGATGCGAAAAAGCAAATATGATCAAGGCGTCAAGGTGTGAGCCTGCGTTCGCAGAGCGCGTTCGGAACGGTGCGTTCTGCGTTCCGTTCGGAGGTGGCCGCTAAGTGAATGAGTAATTCATTTTGGCTGTAGAGCTCTTGGGAAAAGCGCCGTCATAGGATTCCCATGAAGGGTACACAGCTTCCATGTGCTGGCGATTTGATACGTTCTTGATTGGTTTCTGGTGGCGCGTCACCATGTCAAGTAAAGAAGTTGTTGTTTTTTTCAGACCTCCAGCGTCTTGTCCTAGTGAAGTTCCCTGCAGGTTCAATGTCAAAATTGGGGTCTCCGATCCTACCAATGGCAGGCTGGTTAAGATACAAAGCAATTACCCAAATTCCCTATTGACAATAAGCAAGGGATGAGCATAGGTGCCTTTCAGAAAAATAGATGGCCGGCCTCAAACTTGGAAACCCCGTCGCCCCGCTTGGACTCAGGAAACGCCCCGCAGAGTGTGAAGACCTTCATCGAGACCCGGAAGGGCAGCATGGACGAGAACACCTGGTTCGCCATGGCGGGCGCCTACAACTCCTGCGCTTCGGCCGCGAAGGAAACCGGAAAAAAAAGCAAGGGGTGATCGCGAGAATTGCCATAGGTCGGTTGGTAGGAATCACCAAACCCCTCCGAAAAATGAAAAGCGTACAAATAAACAAATAACTCAAATAACATAATAATTGATGTGGTTTTCCTTTGCAATCCCCTGCAGGTTCCCCCGAAAAAGACACCCAAATGGCTCTCTCAGGATCATGTGATTGCTTGGGTTTAATAGCCCCCCACAACCCCATTCTCATCATTCACGGTTCGGCGGTTCTTCGTTTTAGACCACGTCATTCAAAAAGAATCCATTTAAAATTATTCTGCCACATGGTCGTGGCTTCCCTTGGACTAGTGTCTCGCTACGGATTACGGGTGTACAGGCATTTTCGGGATCCCCCGTCATTGCTGAAGGCAATTCCAGGATGTGACCGGATACAGTTCTCCGGTTCGGACCCACTCTCTATGGCAGCAGGCCCCTTGAAGCTGCGAGGCTCTCTTTTTCAAGGGAGGTTGGGTGCCAAAAGTGCCCTTTGCTTCTTGCCAACCTGGGTGCTAAATAGCCCATATCTGTTGAACTTCCATTTGCTTAAGGCTATTATTTATTTTCGCCTGTTGGTTTTAAAGGAACCTCTCACATTTTGGGACGTATTTATCTCAGGGAATTGGATGCAAAAGAAACAAATCCCCTTGTTGGAAGCCAAGAGGAGACGCCTGGCAATCTGATCAGGCATCTCGCGGGTGTTGGACTTCCGCTGGAAGCACTGGAGCTTTGTGGAGCAGTTCATTGCGCCTGTCTCCGTTGAAAACTCTCGGGACCTTCTTCTGGGTGGTTTTTAAATATGGCCCCTACTGTGGGTGGTTGCGAAATTCATTTCGCACCACTTTGAAACCATAGCACACCATGACGTTTGTTGGTATTTACAGTGGTAGCATCACCCCAAGGTTTTGTAGGTGGTGCGACATGGTTTTCGCAACCCTCCACAGTATGGTTCTTCAATTCCCCAACCGCTGAAAGCCATGAGGCTCAGTTCGGTGGTTTGGGGCTTTCGGGAGGGCTGCGCGGGGTTCCGGAAGCTTCCGGGGCTGTTAGGGGGACCATATGAGCTTACTTACCCGAAGGGAAGCCAAAAGGGGGTTTAAGCAGGTGCTTGTTTTTTCCCAGGCCCCAAACAATTTGCACTCACTTCAACAAGTGGTAGTTTCCACGGAAGCTGCTAGTAATTCACCCCTGGGAGGCTGGGAGACTGCTTTTTGTGGGGGTTGAGGAGGCGTTTGTGTTCTACCTCTTGGCAGACCGAATCACTGAGATCTTTTGGAAACTAGCGGGTCCGCCACTTCAACGTCAGAGCGGTGTTGGCTTTGCTTATTCTCGAAGCAAGTCACGCCCAGGTTGGGTCGCCGTCAATCTGTGAGGTTCGCATGTCAGAACTATGTGACCGGGGCATTCAAAATGTCCACAGGGTGTCAATAATCTTGACTGCTATTGGGTTGGATCTTTAGACTTTAGCTTTTTGGTTGAAATCAAGTTGGGTTTCCACTAAACCCTCAAAAAGTGAGAAGCTTTTTTGAGCGGTCGTTACAGCAACAAAGGAATGTGTTCAAACCATCCGAGAGGCAAGGGATGAACCAAATGATGTCCACCAAGGGGTGCCCAACTTAAAACTCACACCCGGCTTGGAAAGTGATAAAGCAGCAATGGGGATATACGGGGGCCCACTTTGGTATCGCGATAGTCATTATCGTTTTCCATCACGAGTTTGCTTGTTCCCGGGTGTAGCGCCCAGACGCTGTGGGAAAAGGTCTCAACGGTGAGGGTCTTTGGATGGCAGCTGGCACTTGCAACATGCCCCGCAGCCCATGGTCGAGGCTTTAAACCACTTGGTTCTGTGAGCACGTGAGTAAGACAGATTTTTCCATTTGGCCTGGGTGCTAGACCATGTTTACATTTCCCAAAGGGAAACCAAAGGAAAATGTGTATCTTTTCGCTTTTTCCATACCCCGTTTTTCTAGGGATACTTTCCAAGTTCTTTCCAGGAATCCTTCTAGAAAGCCTCCAGAAACCCAGGGAAAATCCCAGGGAAAATGGATCTGTTTTTTGAAAAGAAGGATGGTTGAAGAGAATGGGAAATCAACCCCAGAATGTTGTTCCAAAACTGAGGTTTCATCGATCCACAATGCCAAAACCCATGTAGCAGTGTGTTCCACGAACTCGGTGCTACATTTAGAGGCAACCAATAGGGGAACGGAAAACACTGAATTCAACAAACACATGCGCATCTCTAACGGCCCAAGCTACACCCAAAAATCAACCCCTAGATTTTCGTGTCCAGCTGCCTCTCAGGTGCGCCCGTCCTCGAGCAAAACGACCACCAACATGTCGGCCTGCCCGGTCATGGACCGCAGCAATGGCCACACGGCGATTTTTGGGCGATCTGTCTCGTCCTCTAGCTGGGTCCCCCAGCTAGGTGCCCTTTCTCACCCCTTTTTTTTTGGGGGAGGGAGGAAACACCCCTACTAAAATAGGCTACAGAAGAAGTGGGTACCCTTATTCTTCTTCCTCTCTACTTGAGGACCTAGTCGTGTTGGGTCAATTGCAGGTGTCTCAAAGTTGCATTTGGGGAACTTTCCTTTAAAGCACTTAGAACATAGAGGCTTATTTTGAGGCTTTCCCGCGGTTGAAGTTGGTTGTCCCTTTTCCCAGACCTCTTGTGTTATGTGTTTTCTGCTTGGAACGGCGAAAGGCTCCCCAAGATCAGCCAAAGCATGCTTTTGGTTTGGTTTGTACCGCGGCCAAGGGTCAAGCTACAGGAAATTCTACAGGAAGTTAGCCAAATACCCACAAAAATCCGGGGTCTCCTATAGAATTGCCTGTAGTTTGTTTCTTAGATTCAGGTTACTCTTCCTTGGATTGGCTTGCCAAGTGGGAAAACGGTAAATATTGTTTCTTCTGGAACATTGGATCCAAGCCACCGATGCCACAGAGGGTCCGAGGATTGGATGGGTTGGATGGGTTGGATCCTCCACAGCCCACGCCAGTCACAAGCTGAGCCACGAACCAGGGCAGGAAGGCGACATTTCTTCAGCGGCAGCTGGTCTTTTCCTAGCCCTGGAAAGCTGACTAGGTGCCCTTCTCTCCCCTTTTTGGCTGGGAGGGTTCCAGGGAAAAAAGGGCCACTTTGACATCAGCCAAGCAGGGGCTAGGTCCTCAGCAGTGCCCTTTCTCACCCCTTTTTTTGGGGGAGGGTTCCCCTACTAAAATAATTCTATCCTCTCTACTGGAGGACCTAGCTGAGGCAAGGGCAAGGGCGAATGCAAGAGCCAGATCGTGGGCACCGGTGGCACCACCTTCGACTATCTTCAGCAGCGTCTTGGCCGCCAGTTGGGGTCTCAAAGAACCGGGCGCCCAACCAAAAAAAGGTCGGGGCTCCGTGGTTTTTCCGCATCCCAAAGAGGGACCCTCAAAACATGGGGCACGCCCCTTTTTGGGCCAGCAACAAATTCAGACTTTTACCTGATTTGGAGGATCCACATCCCTGTAAGTCAGAAGGATTTGGGATGCATCCTTTAAGGAACCCTGAATGAGTTCGCATTGCTGCCACCAGACGACAATATACGAAAGCAATCAAATGGAACCCATGATAAAGCACCCATGTAGGGTCATCCAAGCGCAATGTTCGGTCAAGAGGTATAGTAATTTGGAACTTGCAAATAGCCCGAGCCTGCTTGTACTAGGACACCCCATGCGGGTGGAATTTGTTTCGTCAGAGGTCCTTACTTTGGTGCATTTTGCTTGGATGTTAGGACTTTTTGCTAAGTGATGGGTTTTCCATTACACCACTAAAAGTCAAGCTAAAAGCAGGGGAGCAGAAAGCAACCAAACTTATATCTTTCCTTTGTTTGGAAGCCAAGGCCTGTCCAACCTACTTGCAATGCTTGGTGATAAGCATAAGGACCCCTGTTGGTTCCACCTGTTTTTGTTTGTTGTTTCAACTTTTCTACTCCTGTACGTACACCTTCTGCCTTCCCCCGCATGACCCAAAAGGCTTGCTGTTGTTCATACCTTAGGACCTTGCCCTTTCTCCAAAAAGGGGTGCGGTCCAGGCAGGGAATAAGGGGGCCTTCCATTCTGCAAATGTGCAAAAGTGAAGGGCGAGGCCTCGAATTCTACACCCGAAAGCCTGACATGTTTTTTTGGGAGCCTCGGATTTGGACTTCCCTCCATATTGAGACAATGTGGGTGTGTTCTTTTTTGGGCCCCCACTCCCCCCAAAAAAGCAACAACAACAAACAAAGATTGTGTTTCAATGTTACCCCCAAAGAATATAATGGGTTTGCTATATTTTCCGTAGGTGCCCCCCCTTCAAACCAACTGAAGGGGAGTTCTCCAACGAAAGACACACCCATATAGCACCGACCTATGCTCGGTTCTTTGAGGGACTCCCTCCCTGGGCTTGTTCAAGGGGAGAGGTTTTGGGGTGTAGCTTGGGCCGTTAGAGATGCGCATGTGTTTGTTGAGTTCAGTGTTTTACGTTCCCCTATTGGTTGCCTCTAAATGTAGCAGTGAGTTAGTGGAACCCACTGCCACATGGAGTTTGGCATCGTGGAATCGATGAAACCTGAGTTTTGGAACAACAAGGATAGTTTTGGAACACAAGCTACGTCCCCCAGTAGGGCCCTTTTACGCTTTTTTTGGGGGAGAGAGGAAGTCCTAAAAAAAGTTGGTACCCTTATTACTCTAACCTCTCAGAAACACCAGGGTGGTGCCCATTTTCCCCGACAATTACTAGGTTCCCCAGTAGTGCCCTTTTACCAGCTTTTTTTTGGGGAGGGTTCCCCTACTAAAATAAAGGGTACCCTTATTCTAACCTCTCTAATCCTCTCCACTGGAGGTCCTAGAAAACTTAGCAAGCGTGGTGCCCTTTGGGGGATCTCGGCAGAACAAACGCTAATATTCGATGAATGCCGCGTTTCGAACCTGCCCGGAGATGGTCTTCCAGCAGAACTAGCAAAAAATAATTTGGCGGGAAGGGGTCCTCATAGTTTAGACCCATAAACTCCGCATGGCAAATCTGTACCGAATGGTTCTTGCACGTTCCGGGTTTAGGGATTACCTGGGTCTACTTAACTCAAGCTGTGTGTTTTTTGGCGTGAAGAGATCCCCTTGAATCAGGAGGGGGACGCCAGCGGTTGCCGTTTCCTTTCGACCGAGGCATATCACGGACTCGCAGAGGGCCCGCATCCAAATCGGCCACTTGGCAAGTCCACCTTGCTAAGCCGCGTCAACTCATTCACACCCAAACTGCTGAATTTGAGGCTGCAAAGTCAGTCCAGGGGTCCTCAAAAGTACCATGAATTGGTTGCATCACATGGAGCCTTGAGGAAAAAAGGTGTGTGTAACTTGTGGTGTCAACCACCTTCCTTTGGCTCTTTTGAAGCTTGTTCAGTTCCCCCCAAGGGGTCCCGGAAATCCAAACCCTCGCGAGTTGTCCGAGGCTCGGTGGCCGACGTGATGAAGACGCCGGCGGCTTGGAATCAAAACGGCTCGCTTTCCGAGCAATGTTCCCGAAGTGGACGTCTCGTGGATACGAGCATTTGATGGCTAAGTGTTTGGGAGGGTGCCTGCAAATATTCATTTGGGCCAAGAAAAAGTGCGCACCATAGAACGACAGCCTGAAATGTTATGTTTTGGGTGCCCCTGGATATCAGTGGGCACCGTTTTCGTTGCCTTGCTGAGTCAAGACCCTCTGGACGCAGCGGCAGAGAGAGAAAGAGAGAGAGAGAGAGAATAGAACACATAGACAAGTGTGGAAAAGAGTAGCATGTGCAAAGTTCCAAAGTGTCCACAAGGCGCTTTGGGCTTTGACATCAGCATGTCAAGCTGTTTAAACACAACAAGGACAATGATAAAATATGCGCCTCGTTGGCCAGAACTCGCCTCAATTGGACAAAGCAGCTCGACCTAAAAGCCTCCCCTTTGACATTTCCCAGAAACCAGAGGCACTTCAAGCAGGGAAACCAGTCACAGCCTGCAGAGAATTGCCCGGCGAAAACGTGGTTGGGCAGGGCTACTGCAGGTAATTTGCATGACAAGCCTGTCAACCAAAGGACTGCAACCAGGGCTTTTGGGGAATGGTTTTTGTCCCTGGTCCTCATGAATTACGGACTTAGGTTTTGATAGCCTAAAGAACCATAGGAGGAATGTGTGCGTGTGTGTGTGTAACAATTTAAAGGATTTAGCCCTTATCATTTCTTGGCCCACACACACACATCGGCGGTACACAGGAAAGAACAACTTCCGACTTTGCTCCACGTTTAGACCCCAAAATATCAACTATTTGTGGAGATTGATTTCCTGTGCTCGACGGGCTGCTGGTGTTTTCCTAGGTCCCCCAGCTAGATACCCTTTTACCAACTTTTTTGGGGGGAGGGTTCCGTATAGTAAAAAGACGTCCTGAAAAAAGTGGGTACCCTTCTAACCTGGACCTAGAATTTCTTTGCGGTCAGGAGCTGACGCCGCTGACTCGGGGCAGCACCCCGTTGCTGCCCAAGATGCCGCTCCTCGAGAGCAGCTTGTGGGATCCAACAGGCCGAAGTTCGGCCAAAAACCGCTCCGAGCGTTGGAGGTTCAACCGGCCTAAGTCATTTATACCTTACAACCATGGTTATAGGGGAGCCAACCCCAGTTATACCAGTACCAATCATGGTTCTGATGTACTCACTAAGTTGCTTGAACACCCAAGTAGGTGTCCTTATTACCTTGGGTTCCACTGGTTTAGAGCGGTTTTATGGCCAAACAGTGAGCTTTTCCCCAAAGGGCACGTATGAATTCGCCAGGGTGTGTTTTTGGTCTTGAGCATTGGTTTGGACAAACCCCTTTTGAGGGAATCATGAGACAAACCCATGTTTTAATTGCTGCCCTGCGCAAAAAATCGATGTGTTAAGTCCAAAATGGGTGTTTGATTTGTGGGCACATGTAGGCATCATTCCTTTTTCCCCGATCCTTTGGGCAAGCGGGGGTGACGGCACAAATTTTCAGGAATTCGAAGGGGTGGTTGGTGGTTTGGATTGGTGGCTTGGGGATTTGCACCCCAGTTTCTCTAGAAAACAACTGAGGAAGGTACCCACAAACACCCAACCAAACCAAACCACCAACTGGGGCTAGGGTAAAACAGAGATCCAATCAGTTTGTCATTTGGTGGTTTTGGATGCATTCCAAAGATGGTCGCAAGAAGTGTGTTGAAAAAGGATCAGCCAAGACGGGGTGGAGCTGGGAGATTGAAAGAGGATCACTTTGGGTGACTGCAAGTGAAGCAACCAATAGAGTGCAGGAGTGATTCCATTTCGGGCCCACGAGGATGGCGTAGCCCATTCACTGAGGTCTTCCCAATTGGAGCTCTTGCCAACTTAATGGGAACCCATTATTGATCCGTGGTTTTTGATACATCGGGGGAGTGCCCGCTAAAAAAAAGAGATCCCCCACTTTGGGGGAAACGCCCCATGAATCAGCCGTACACAAACTGAAGCAATGCATTGCCAGACTTCACGAAGCTGTTTGCTTCTTCCTTTTTGGTTTTCCTTTACTCCCTCCGTTCCTGGATTTAAACCATTTTGGACAACAGAATGTGTGGACCTTTTAAGCCCATCTCAGGATGTGCGGTGATGCTAAGGGTAACTTCCCCATTCGTTCCAGGGATCCTTCTTTCTAGAAAACCACCAAACACCCTGGGGAAATGGCGATCGGTTGTTGAAAAGAACGATGGCTGAAAAGAATGGAAGAGGAATCAACCCCTAGAGTCATTTCCCTTCAACCAGCCAGCCCTTCAGGGCGCAACGGCTTCGCCACGCTGCGCATGGCCAACTTGCCGAACTGGGGCCCGCTGTTTCATGCGCCGTTACCAGGCGCATGAGTGAACGTGGCCAGGGATACTTGTTGTTTGTCTAGGTCCCCCAGTAGTGCCCTTTCTCACCCCTTTGGTTGGGAGGGTTGCCCTACTAAAATAGGCTACAGAAAAAGGGTGCCCTTATTCTGACCTAGTTGTCTTGGTAGAAACAATAGAGGCTGGCCGTGGCTTAAAGAAGTGGCACCAAGTTTTGGGCCCCTTGGATGGAAACAAAGACCAACACCTGCGTAATCCCAGCTCGTCAATTTAGAGACACACCCAGATGGCCCTGGTTGGATCTACCACCATCTATTTTCCGGAAAGGACGAGTATGTTTGCGACACGATACGGACGTGGTCGATGTTTCTTAGCGCTATGCCCAGGTAACTTTCAATTGGCGGCTTGGGTTCGCGGTTTGGTTTGAAGTGTACCCCCGGTTGTAGAGAATCAAAGGGAAGAGAAGACGCCCTATCTTGAGGGGCATCCCTAGTTGCAGCCCAAAAGCAGAAAGCAAGCACTTACGGGCGGCATGAAGAACCGCATCCCGTGACTGCCGTATCTGCAAACGGCATTTCAAACGAGCTGCCACTGAAACAGTTGTGCAACCTTGAAAGGGGAAAACTAAACAAGTCATGGATGGTTCCAACAAATCATGCTTTGCCACGGAACAACTTTGTTTTGGAGGCGGAAAAACATGGTTGTTGTTGGGAAACATTGGAAACAGTTTTGCTTAATGTGGCTTAGTGGTTGAAATCCAACCACTTAACTGCTAAAGTTTGATAATTTTTGCTCCCCAAGCCCAACGTCAACCAAGATAACAAAGGTTGAGAGAGAGATTGAGAGAGAGAGAGAGAGAGAACTCCTAGGTCCCCCAGTAGTCCCCTTTTACCCTTTTCTGGGGGAGGGTTCCCCTACTAAAAAAGACTACAGAAAAAAGTTGGTACCCTGATTCTGTCCTCTCCGCTGGAGGACCTAGTTAATGTTGACCCCGTCTGAATCAATCCCAGCTTATGGATAAGGGGCTGGGGGCCCCTCCAAAAAATGGCCTGATTCCCCACAAAACCCAGAAAATTCCTCTCATGTTTTGCCACATAACTCCGTAAGCCACGGCGCCATGGATCCTTGAGGCAGATCCTTCGATTGGCTGAACCCGGCTTCATTGCCCATGTCCACCGGGTTTTTCTTTTTGCCATGCCCACCATGGTGCACCGAGTCCACCGGTTTTTTGTGTTTTTTTTTCACATCCTTTTTTTTGGACATCCTTGCGCCAGGGTACTGAGCTTGGAGAGGTGGAGGTTCACCTTGCCTGGTTTCACTTTCCAAGGGACCTGCCGGACAACCAAACACCCAAAAAAGGCATCGCCGTTGTTTGCTGGCTCCCCCATTTCTAAGTGCCCATTTCCCCAAAGGCGTAAGGTTTCCTGTGGACTTCTTTCACACCCGCCCTGAAGGGGAGCAAACACCCCCCCTTCTCTGGGAAGGACTCAAATCGATCATTTTTGGGAGGTGTGTTTGGGGGGGGGTCCTGAAAAAAAGTTCTGTGACTCTTAGCCGAATCCCATGAGATGCGGGTCCGGGCAGGCTGCTCTGCTCTCCTGGAGTTGGCCTCTGTGATCCCCACGCTCTGCTACACCCACCCCGGCTTGGAGCACATGGAGCGGATCGCACAGAAAACTGCGCCCAAATGGCTGTGGTTGTCAAAACCAAATGGGATCCCATTTTGAGGTAGGTGCACCAACCATTTTAGAACCTATGGTTAGTGGGGATTGGGATGTTAAAACCGTTTTGGGATCCCATTTTGGTTGGCAGGTGAATTCGCCAGCCATTTTAGAACCTATTTTAGTGGTTGGATTGGGATGTTCACAGGGGGTACGATTTGGATTTTGACCCATGGTCAAAATGGGAGCCCTGTAATGCTCATCTTTTGGGCGCCTGCAAATGAGCCCAGATGTGACTCCCCAGAACCCTCAAACCCCAGCTTTCCCCTCGCCTTTCCGAACCGGAGCCCCATCCAAGTGCTCCAGCGAATCAGTTGCGCCTTCCACCCAAAAGGATCCCATAGGACTCCGGGCAAGAAGATCCCAGCTAGGTGCCCTTTCTCAAATCTTTTTGGTTGGGAGGTTTCCCCTATACTAAAATAGACTACAGAAAAACAAGGGTACGCAGATGCTAACCTATCTACTGGAGGACCTAGACATAATCCAAAGCTTTCAACAGGAATGCTCTTTCCTGTGGGAAGAAATCAAGCACCTCGCAACCTCTATACCCGCTTTTTGCTGGAGGGTCGACCCTGTGACCCGCATGGTACAGGACTCATACCTGGGCCAAGTTTGTGACCCACTAAGAGTTGTCAATCTGGTCGATGAACATAGCCCAGGAAAAGTCAATATCTACAGCCCATACTTCTGCGCGCAGCCCCGGCCCTGCATTCCTACCCGCAAATGGGGCTGTGTTTGTTTGCGGATACCCACGCCGAAAGCAAAGCACCTTTTTTTCGGGGTTCCCCAAGTTTGACACATACACGTGTTTGATGTTTTGGAGGGTGCGTGCCAGTTGTGGCGACTTTCCAGCTGCCTCGTTTCGCTTGGATTGATTGGGGAGGTTGATCTTAATTTGTTCACCTCTGTTGGTATGTCATGTGTTTTCACGCGTGCCCAGTTGTTCCATGCACCTGCTTTTTCCAGTCGCACACCCTTTGCACTTGTCCCGTACCGGTTGAACAGTTGTCCGGGCCCGAGAAGCCACTTGTGGGTAAACACGGAAGGCAAAGCTCGGGCTCGGAGCATTCTGAAATTGTTTGCCGGTTTGGATGCTTCCATTTGCTTAGGAATTATTTTTAACTTTGCCCTGTTGGTTTTGACGGGAACCTATCACTATTGGACATATTTGTATGATTTTGTCCAGGAGGCTTGAGCAAATGGAAGGCTGGATGGTTTGGATTTGAACCTCTGGTTCTTTTGGGCAGCTGGGAAGCCCCTAGCCACCATCATGGCTCATCCCGATAGACAATAAAACAAGACTAATAAATAAATAGCATATGTTTTATTCCGTCCCTTTTTCTTTGTTTTACTATACATCTTTATGGTGTTATAAGGTTTTACATGGACAATCTATGGTATTTTGCTACGCCAGACCACCAGACCAGCCAGGAGAACTCGAGCTTTGCCCACCCCTTTGTGACCAAGTGCGAAGAGAAGCGACTGGAGATCGAGTCGCTGATCAAGCCCAGCAAGGATGGAACCCCTGCCGAGACGCTGAGCATCATTGAGGTCTGATATTGACGAAATTCCCCAACGTGGTCCACATTCTGATGAAGAAACGTGTCTTCGGTTCTACTGGGATCCCCATGTATCTCTTTTTGCTGCTTTCAAACATCACCATTCGGGCAAACCCAGCTACGATGGGCCGGCCGAATTCGTTTGAAAGCTCGTTCGCAAGGTGCCCAGTGGTTTTGGAACGTGAGACCATAGCCTTGTCTGACTCAGTTACCCAAAGCGAATCCACCAGATCTGACATGTTGGTTTCCCTTTTTGGTCCATTAGTCAAGGTCCCAAAAAGGCTAGCTTTTCTCTTGTTTTATTTCCACTGAAATCCAACTTTGTTCAGGGAACTCGCGAGCGCAAAAAGTACTGTACAGCATGGTAGAACTCCTCCCCCCTGCTCAACTGGTTCAGTTACTTTGAACCAATATGAAAAGGCTTTGCTGAAACGCTGGGTGCTGAATAAATCGTATGTTGCTCATGTCCAAGGGGATGGACATCATTCAATTTGTCCAAGCCCCGTTTGAACAGACAGCTGATGACCCATTTCCCTTGCGGCAAATCTCGGCCTGTTGGTTTGCTGAGGTCAGCCCTTGCTGCGGGAAATGCAAGGCACACGTCCACCAGGACCTTAACCTTACCATTTGGAATTCCCCTACTTTGAAGAAAGATCGCGGCTGATCGCTTGCTGTAGCGTCCACTTGGTCATTTAAAAGATGGTATGTTTGATTCAAGCCATCAGGAAGAGCGCTGTGAAGTACTTTGTGCATGAACAGAAACATTCCAAGAGCTCTTTGGGTGTCCACGAACTGAGTGGACATTACTCAAACATACGGTACATGCTGGCAACGTTTGAGGGGTATAGTATTTTTGGGCTATATTCTATAAGCACATGCATACAAAAACATCTGCACACCAGGGGCACCTACCACAGGTGAAGTGTTGCATGGAAGGCTCAGCATGGAACTGAGGAACCTCCCGGTGGCTGACCTCGAGCAGACCTGGCTTCTTGCCTAAGGTAGAAGTGAGCCACAATCAAAACCCCGGGTCGAAGAAGGTTAGTACGGAACAATCCCCTGGCCATAAACAACTGCGGATATCCGCCTTTTTAATTTTTGAAGCATGGTTCTGGGTAGAACATTTTACTACCGGGTTTTCATTGTGACTCAAGTGCCCTTTTCTCTTACGTCAATTTGCTTACAGGGTGGCTCCGAACCTCATGAAAGCACAGGGGTAGAATAAATGGTCAGGAACTACGGGCAGCACAAGGAATCAAAAGGCCCTGTTCATGGTTGTTGTTGGGAACCATTTTGCATTTTTGCTTATGGTGCTTAACTGCTAAAATTTAAATTGTTGCTCCCCTTCCAACGTCAACCAAGCTCGGCGAGCCCTCTGCGGAGATCGTGCGTGTCGAAGCGCTCTCGCTGTGGCACCATGCGAGGTGCGACGTGCCCTCCCGCATCTCCGGCTGCGCAGGCAACGTTTAAGTACAAAGCTGGCGCGCAAAGTGCGCTCCCGCATCTGCGGCTTGAAATTCGCAACTTCTAGGTGCAAAAAGTAGTACGGGAAGCGCGTGCCCGCAGCTCCGGCTGTAAAATCGCGCTTTTTAAGTACAAAAGCAGTACGCGAAGAGCACTCCGGAGCTCCGGCTGCAAAATCGCAATTTTAAGTTCAAAAGTAGCACGCGAAGTGCACTCCCGCAGCTCCGGCTCGAAATTCGCAACTTCTAGGTACAAAAGTAGTTTGCGGAGGACATTCCCTCAACTCCGGCTGAAAGCTCGCAAGTTTCAAGTGCAAAAGTAGTACGAGAGCACTCCAGAGCTCCGGCTTGCAAAATCGCAATTTTAAGTACAAGAGTAGTACTGGAAGTGCACTCCCGCAGCTCCAGCTCGAAATTGGCAGGTTTTTAGTGCAAAAGTCCTACGCGAAGTGCGCTCCGGAGCTCCAGCTGCAAAGTTGCAACTTTGTATGAGTGTACGAAGTGCGTTCCCATGGCACGAGGCTCGCAACTCTTAAGTCCAAAGTTGTACATAAAGTGCATTCCCGCAGCTCCGGCTGCAAAATCGTAAATGGCAACGTGCGCGCGAAGCGCGCTCGCGCGGTTCAGGTAGTATGCGAAGTACACTTCCGCAGCTAAAATTGCCAGCAGCTGCTCACAGATATGGACAAGAGAGTTTTTCAACAGAGGACATGAAAGATTTGGCAAGAGAGGTTCCAGAACATCATGCGCAGCATCATGCGCTGCATTTCGCGCAACATCACGCGCAACATCACGCACAGCTTCGCGCGCAACATCAAGCCACAGCATCACGCGCGCGAGAAGTTGACAGGAGAGATTGTGAAGCATGATGCTGAGCTTGCTTATCAGAATCTACGCTTGAGCAGGGGCACCGACGTGTTTACGATCTCATCAGGTGGGAGAGGCGTCAGTGTTTATTTAACGTTTTTTCTATGCTTCTGGGCCACCTGTCGTCAAGTTGGACGCAATACTATTTGGGGTCTCTTGCCGGGATAGTTTTTGTTCCTTGGCCCTTGGACGTGAGTGACGATTTTCCTGTGGCTTTTGTAAATTTTCCTTCGGGCCCAGAGCCCAGGCTCGTGTTGACCATGGTGGTGGCCGCCTACGGCAGCAGCCGTCGACCTCCGATGCCGAAGGCCTCGAGCCGTTGCCCGGCCATGGCGGCCAAAGAGGGCGCCGATGTGCGGCGGAAGGAGAAGGAGAGGGGCGCAGTGCTGGAGGTTCTTCTGTGGTGCGCCAAAGGGGTGGGGTGGGGTGTGGGGTGTGGGGGTGGGGGGGTTGTGGGGGGTGGGGTGGGGTGGGGTGTGGGGTGTGGGGTGTGGGGTGTGGGGTGTGGGGTGTTGGGTGTGGGGGGTGTGGGGGGTGTGGGGGGGGGGTGTGGTGGAGGGTGTGGTGGGGGGTGTGGCGGGGGGTGTGGTGGGGGGTGTGGTGGGGGGTGTGGTGGGGGGTGTGGTGGGGGGTGTGGTGGGGGGTGTGGGGTGTGGGGTGGGGCTCCAGGAACGGCGTCAAGAACAGGCTTATAACTCGGTCACGTTTTTGGTAGCGCCGGCCCCATGGTGTGCGTTTATAGATGGGTGGCATTTGTCGCTGGCAAGTGAGTAAGTGATTTTCTCTGTGGCAGTGTAGATTTGTGGGCTTGTCACTTCCGAAGTGATGGCAGCGGCGCCCAAAAGCTAGGCAATTGATGTCAATAGGATATACGTGGCGTGACGCGAGTTGACAATCCAAACAACCAGGCACTAGCTCAGGGTATGGGATGGTTGGAGGCAGTTTTTACGGGAGCGGTGCCGGTAAGTCTTGAACATACACTAATCGTATGCCTCCAAGTTTCCTTCTTTGTCAGACAGCCCTTTGGCGGTCACTTTAGATTGTACACACATTTGTGCCCCTCATGTCAAAAGAGAGAAAGGGACATCTTTTGGATGGCGCTTGAGGGGAAACAAGCTACTCAAGCTTGAGGGCGCCCTATTTCAGGAATCCACGTGCCCGCGCAAAGCAACTCGCGAGGGGTCCTGAAGGGCACGAAGTCAAAGGACGAGGTACTTGGATGCTGGTTATCAGGCGCCTTCTGAGAAGCAATGTTTGCTTGTGGTGTCCAAGAATCTTGTGAAGGAAAGCTACAGGCAAACCAGGCTTCAACGGACACAACAACGTGGGTGCGAATCAACCAATCCCGTTGAACAAATGAACCAAATCCCCGAAAAAGAAGCCACTAGGCAAGTTGTATGGAGGTCAATGCATTTTTGCGACCCCTAAATTAGCACGTCATCAACAACATGCATAAGGTGAAAACACCGTAAAACCTGTTGGATGCCGGACTTGCGTTATTTGAGCCACAATCAAAACCCGGATAGATGAAGGATAGTAAGTAAGGGACGATCCCAACCATAAATAGCTGCGGCCGCCTTCTTAGTTCTTTACCTGGTTCTGGGTGCACCATTTTTGGTACCGGGTTTTGATTATGACTCATTTCTCATCATCCGCCAGGACGCTGAGCTACTGCCAGAGTGGATGCTGAACATCATCAAGCACCTGGTGCCGATCTCAGGGTAACTCCAGCTTTTCCAGGGAAGTCTACTAGATTGCAACCGCGAGAAACTATAACATGGACCCTGAATCAAGCAGGCTAGGCGCAAAAGCTGAGGTCTGCCGTGGTTGAACTCGAGAGGGAACCAACTAGGGAACCAAAGACTTGTCACAGCGATTCTTTGTTCTCTCTCACACACCATGCTCGGGGTTTGGTGGGTTCCATTCCTTTGTGAGTTTGCGGCCCCCCAAAATTTTATTCATGGACCCAGGCACAGACTAACAGACTCAGACTGTTGGGGGAGATTCACAGCGATGTCAATGATCGGCCAGGAACTTGAAGTCTTTGATTAAAGATTCCTGTCATTTAGGCAGCTAGTGAGATACGGCTAGGTCCCCCAGTAGTGCCCTTTTACCTCTTTTTGGGGGAGGGTTCCCCTGCTAACATAGGCTACAGAAAAAAAGGGTGCCCTTTTTCTAACCACCCTACTGGAGGACCTGGACGGTGTAGACCGCGCGCAGACAAGAGCCAGGCACCAGCCAGAAAGCACCCTTTGCAGCTTTCAAAGTAGTTGAAGACATGGAGAAGCTGGTGGCCACTATTTCTCCAATGCCATATATTCCAGCCAAAAGAAGCAGCAATTATATCAAGGGTATGCCAATTGTTTTCTCCTGGCTGGGGTGGCAACCATCTTAAAGTCTTAGAGCTTCCCAAGATTGTGGCCAGACAAAGTCTGAAACATATGCTTTCCTTGGACTAGAAAGCGTATCACGCGTCTTCGCGCGGACACACGCGACACAGCATCAAAAGTGTTCGGTACTGGAAATGACATCTGCGAACTTCATCTCCTGCCCTAAGCTCCATCGCCCCGAAACGCACATTGGCAACATGTGTTCCACGGTCCAAGGTTTAAACAAGTTCATGGAAGCGTAGAGGCTGTGCACTTCAATGCTAGGGGCATGGTAACCGATTTTCCTCAGCTGCCAGACGGCCACTGGCAGAAGTGCTGCAGGTTTGTCGCACTGGAAGTTGTTGGGTTTCAAACTTGGTGCCGCAAGCCTTTGGAAAAAAAAAGACAACAAAAACCAAAAAACACTAAATATGTTTAGGGTAAGCGAGGGCAACCACGAGGCTAGGTGGAGGCCCGCTCAAAGCGGCCAGGAATCCTTGGTGGGCAGACAGTGGAGCGGAGCTCCCGGCTACAGCGAGCTGATTTTGAACAACTGGTGCGTGCCTGGTTTGGACAAGGACCGAAGCCGAGAGAGCCGAGCGGGTGTGGCTCATTTTTCCAGGGGCAAACCGCAGGTTTTGGTCCATGTTTCCACTTACCAGGGTAACCCATTTTAGAATTCCGGTTTTTTGAGCCACAGCCGAGCCAGAGATGTACGGAGGGCAAGAAGACGTTTTATACTTCGACTCCTTTCCGTACATCTTAGTATTGCCTACATTGTGTTGGCATATACCCCGTGCTTCCCGGGCTAGTATGGGCGAACGGGAAAGAAACCACTTGGCATGTAGCAGGCATTCCGCAGGAAGCCGCCTTCGTTTTGGGTTTGAGTCGTGGCCCCAAAGATATCTGCTGGTGCTTCAGCCAATCCCGAGCGCCAGCCCTGTCCGGGATCCAGATTTCCCTCAGAGGTGTCCCTGAGCCAATCCACTCAGGAAGTGAGTCTTAGTTCCAATCATCCATTGTATAGGCGCCAGTTTTTTCATGAATCTTCAGTGTCGGCGGTTCGGCTTGCGCCAAGGGACTTCTTGCCAGGAGCAAGCTGAGGATTTCGTGATTTCCCGGGACACCATCCACTTGGTGCGGCCATGTGTCCGATTCCTGGCAACTCCGGAGGAGGAATGGTTGCTCGGCAAGACTCTGTTTTACAGAAGGGCGCCCAACGAGTGGTTCTGACCGGCAATCGGCTAACCGGGCTCAACCGGGCAAACCGGCCGGTTCGCCGGTTCGCCGGTTGACCGGTCGAGCTCGGTTCGCCGGTTGGCTGGTTCGCCGGTTGGCCGGTTCGG